TTCATATTTAGTCACAGATGCGGCGACTGATGAAAAATTAACTGGTAGATTTAAACTGATAAGACACGGAGAAAAAAAGACTTAAGAGGAAAAAAGACTCATGGAATCACCAAAGAATGGGTACTCCCCGTGTCACGTGTTAGGGCCTGAGTAAATGCCCATCCATAATTTTTTCATCAATCAATATGTTCGCTGTTCTAGACATTGACGAATGCGGTGCTTCTTCTCCTGTATGTGACATCAATGCAAACTGCTCCAATACTCGTGGATCGTATATCTGTACCTGCAGGACAGGATATACAGGCGATGGAAAAACTTGCCAAGGTAGGATAAATGTCGATTTACTGTGATAACAACGAAGAGGGCAGATTTCTGGGGACTTGTGTGACGCCCAGTAAAAATCGTCAATCCATCGAATCCAGTCCTTTTATATACGGGCAGTGCATGACATCATGCCTCGCCTTTGTTATATACGGGCAGTGCATAAGATTTAAAAGGCCGCGTATTAAGAATTAAAACGTCTGAAGTCCGTTATTTAATGGCGAAAAGTAATGCTGTAGTTACTTAGTAGCCCACCTAGACCAGTGGAAAAAGAAAAACAAAATTATCAACAGCACCTGGTAACCCTAGGTTTTTGGAACAGCCTATATAGACGAACTCTGCTTTAGAAGAATTATGAGAGATGTATAAAAAAACGTTGACGAGTTCAGGCGTGGACAACTCGATGGCGAAGAAGAAGAAAACTCCAAAACGTTTTTGTTTCCTGTTGAGGAAATTCAGACTGCTTTCAACGGGGATCGAACAAGGTTGAATATTTTCATTATTATTACTTTATTATTATTATTTTATTTTATTTTGTTAGCAAGGAGCATAGGAAAGATCCTTGTGGAACTCCAATATTTTTGTTTTTCTAGACATTGACGAATGCAGTACTTCTTCTCCTGTATGTGACAGCAATGCCAACTGCTCCAATACTCGTGGATCGTACATCTGCTCCTGCAAGGCAGGATACAACGGCGATGGAAAAATTTGCGGAGGTAGGAGAAAATAATTAGCTAATCTAAAGGTAAGTTACTTTACTGTTATAACATCGATTATGGAAGTTTCCTAAGGACGTGCGACATCATAGCATTCAAAATTGTGGCTAATGAGATCGGCAGTCCGCTAAATCCGCCGGTAAGTTTTCGTATCCAGCATTGCATGACGTCATACCTCATGTTATGCTTCTGCTGGAGCCTATACAGAGCGAGCAACTTCCATAAACTCTTGTCACGGCGTTTTTGCCAATGATTTTGACGCGAATTTAGGTCCCCCAAACCAGTCAGCAAAAGGAAAAGGCCTGAAACTGGCATTTTTGACCTTTAAATAACTCTGTATCATGAGCCGCCAGTGAAGATCATGCGCTACCTCACTTCCGTCCAAAGTGCAAAGGCGTAAATTTAAATCATCTAGTTCATAATAAGGATTAGATTTGAATAAGGATGTAGGACATTACATTCATACTTATTTATGCATACGGGACACACTATTCTATAATTTAATTTATGTTTACATTACATCACGTACTTATTTTTTCTAAATATATATTACTTCTTTTAAGAAGTAATTACTCAATTGTTGAGTGAGACTGAGTAGGATGAAGAATTTTGCAGATGGAGGAAGATGTTGCGGTGAATAACATCCTCGGAGATCTGCATAATTCTTCACATTATACGAGAGCCTAATTCATTCATTGTCTTATTTTTCATTCAAAATATTTCTTTATTCTTATTTAACAACTTTTCCTCATCGAAGACTTTATTCAAACCTTTCGCCTATTTCCCGGCACAGTTTTTCCTTGCAGTGCTCCCCATCGAGCGATTTGTTTTGCGTATTCTTGCAAATCTTTCGTTCAGTTTTAGTTTAAAATTCAACTATTCCGGATGGTCGTGAACGCCTTTTTTTCAGAATTTACTGGTGAATAATTAGCTAGTCGGCCGAGTGGAAACGACGTTGATCGATACCATATTAAGAACATGCGAGCAATTTACCATCGATTTGATGGCATATTGCTCCATCCTCCAAATATCGTAAACGCCAGTTGATTAGGGGCTTTGAGCCAATCAGAAGCGTCGAAGTATTTTGAATGAATAATTGTAATCAACGTATTCTATTTACGCTATTTCATTTTATCAGCTGTTCATTTATGTTTATCGAACCTTTTTATATATCTATATAGATACTTCAGGGTTATAAGTGTTTAAATTATTTTAAATTATTTTAAGTGATATCAGTTTCGAAAAAATATGTTACCTGAATCACCACCTTTTCTTTTCTCTTCCCGTTTATCAGTTTTCGCAGAGGGACTGACTGACTCCGTTATCTTAGGAGACAATGTGCAACACTTAGCTAATTTAAGCGCATGGCTCAAACGAAGCGAATCTTCAAAATGGAAGCGCTGTTGGCGTGCGTCCGTGGATGGCTGGGCTGCCAGTACTTTTCACAGCGGATGTGACGACAAACGACCAACTGTAACAATAATAAGAGTCGGAGGGACGTACATATTTGGAGGGTACACTAACCTCTCATGGGGTAAGCTCTAATAGACCTTGTCACGGTTTTCGACGCCATATTCACGAGTAGGCAAACGTGTGAGAAATTACTGTGTTTGTATGAGAATCTGATGTCGAATAATTTCCGTAATTCGGCTGTTCTGAAAAAAATATCAATTGTAAACTAAAGCTACAAAGCAAAGGATTGTACAAAAAAAACTTGGGGGCGTACCTGTCCTTAAATTTCTCCAGACGATTGCTTTAGGTTTTCCATATATTTGTCTGTAAATTTTCTCGGGACTTTCTTACAGACAAATCTATGGAAAATTTTTAAAAAGTGGTTCAAGGTGTTCTAGTGCATGCAACGCCCTCACGATTTTTTTCAGTAGCATCCTTAGGAGTGAAGCTTTAGTTTACAATTGATATATTTTTTTCAGAACAGCAAACACTGTAATTCCCCACGCGTTTACCTACTCGTCAAGGTGGCATCGAAAACCGTGGCAAGGTCTATTTTTAATGGTCTAAACACCAAACAAAGCGGACCACCTTTTAGTATCACACCGTGGTTGCGCATACTAAGCTGGAGGGATTGTTGGCGTGCGGAATCCAACCAGCCCCTCTCCGACAATACTCTTTACTTACTTTCTCCATTTTAACAAAACAATGTTTGGGAATTCGGGTTTGTATGTTTAGCACCAATTCTGTAGGGTTACTTCATTAGGGAATTGTAACGTTGTTTCATGCAAGAAAGTCAAACAATGATACTATTAAGAAAATTAACAGCTTTTTAAATAACAGCATGAAATAATACAAGTGTAATGGAAAAATGATGGATATGGGTGTTGGAATGGGTTAGGGCTGAATCCTCACGAAGACGACTTTCTCTCCGATTTTCCATGAATAAAACGCAGTTAAGGCGAAGTAGTAGTATAAGAGGTAAAGAAAGTTCTGTTGCACAGGGATGATGACTTGACACTGCGTTATCTAGCAGAACGATGGATAATTACAGATATTCGCCGACAATAAAATTATGTGCTGATATTTCTACTCTAAAAAGTGGTTTTCAGGCAAAGCATTTCGCACTATTGTCTCAAGTGCCATTGTATTAAAAAAATAATAACAAAAATGACTAGAACGCAAGTGTGAATTGATTAAAGCTTAGGTTCCTAAGGCTCGATTTCCTGCTCTTAAAGCTAAATGAGAATTAACTGTATATAAAAAGTGCGAGGTAAATGGGGAAAAATGCCGCTTCTAATCAAGTCTTTTTTGTCATAGTTCACAATAAAAATAATATAAAATAAAATAATTGCTAACGAGCAGCCTCGCGAAGATTCGAGGCTGCGAGGCGGCAGCCTAATAGAACCGTGCGCGATTGTTCCAGGGGCAGAAAAAATCTTGAATCGATGCAACATAGAGTCATGCAAGGCAGCCATAACGGAATGCGGAACAGAGAATGCATTGTTTTCGAGTGAAAATTTGATACAGATCAGAGAATCCACGAGCCGTGTGTGTGTTTGTGAGTCCCGCGCTCATCCCGTCTTCAACCAATCGTCAGGTGGATCATTTCCATCCTACGCCACATCTGTCGCATTTGCCTGCTGGAATTTTTTATAGGATGCCGCTAATAACGCAGCGAAATTTTTTGTGTCTTTGAAGCAAAATAATTCGGAAGGCTTCATTGGCGCCCCATAAATTTTTTAGCTTTAAAAAGAGACCAAATATAAGTCTGTACGTTGAATATTCGGGGACTTTAGTCCACTAAATTTTACGCAAAATGAGCTGGGCGCAACTTCGGACAAAAACACGAACTCCAATATCTCGAAAAATTTGCTGCTTAAAGTCGGGATCTCAAATTCTTAATGCAGTAGAACAGTTAAGTTCACTATTTTCAAAAGACAAATTAAAGCAAGGGGCACACGTACACCAAACCCATGATCCCCGTTCCCCGCGCATATCGTGGGAGAACTGCCATGCGGTTCCCAGTCAACAGCTCCCACATGTGTTGTGTGGAGCTGGCACTTGAAGAACTCGCCTCGGCAAGAAAGGACTCAGTAAGACAAAGTCAGACCCAGTAAAGGCGAAACAGCTGTTCATAGCTGCCACTGATACTGGCTGTGCGCATGCGTGAGGTAATGGTGTATGTGTGCCCCTTGCTTACTTCAATGGTAACTGATACTCCACCTTCCCCGAGCATGTCCTAGTAGAACTGCTGTGCGGTTCTCAGTTCTCATGTGTTGTGTGGACCTAGCGCTTGATAGACTGCTTTGCACTCTCCTCGGTAGTAAGGGTTTTTTTCTTCTTGATGTACCGCCCCGGCCGCGAGTTGGTGTATGTGTGCCCCTTGCTTTAGGTTTGCACTATTTTCAATGCTTCAATGCTCTTATTTCTTTGCTCGTTGGCACTTGGCGATAGCTATAACTAGTAGCAATAATAAAATAAACTGAGAGAGTATTTTGATCAAAGCTATGTATACTGAGATCAAACTGAATAGCAGCATGGAATCTTACGTTTCCTGTTTTTCTCTTACATATTGTACAACGCAAACTCAACTTTACTTTAGCAAAATGTTTTTGCTTTTTTTTTCGTTTTTAACTATCTTATGTTTTAAATATGTGCTGTAGTCAATCACATACTTTAAGGTGATTAATGTAAATTCATTTTAAATCTTATACATTTTCCATCTTTTTTTAGAATCTTATCGTATCTTTTTAGAGTTTTTTTCGTAGTTGTATTACTGTAAATCATTTCATCCTGTTTTATAAGAACCAGAATCTCATTTGCCATTCTGAAAACATCCCTCCTATGCTTAAGGGGAACGCGTTCAATGAGGAGAGTAAATCTCAACCTAAAAGATATGGACTTTGACATCGAAAGAGGACTTTTAGGACGCTGGATTTTGATTTAGAGAAAGGATATTGAATACTGTATATTCAATTATTACTACTATTTAATATTCTTATCGATGTTGGTTCATGTTGAAATCGTGGCAGTTTTTTTACTTTTTTTTTTTAAAGTCATTTCATCCTTATTTTTCATTTTAGGACTATATCGTAATCATTTTTACACGTAATAGTTTTTTTTTTCTTCAAGAAATAAGCTTTAAATCTTATGCGTTTACACTGCGAAAATGATGATGATGATGTTGATGAAGATTATAATAATAATGGCCTGAGGAGCCCAAAAAATCTTCAGTATGAATCGGTGTATTTCAAAAAGCTACACAAAGACCGAGCAGAACTGGGGCTGCTCTAGTGTCAACTATTACAAGTGTGTACCTCTTTTTCACTCATTAAAGTTTCCCTTGCACAATTATTTCGTGTACTCTGTCGCCAAAAAGCAAAACTGTACCTTTGCGTTTTTAAGTTAGCTGGACTACGACCAAGACGGCATCGCAGGGGGTAGTTCGGAAATTAATTTGGAAGTACAGTGGAACCTCGGCATAACGAAGGACCCAGAAACCGGCAGAATTTGTTCGCTATACAACGAGGTGTCGTTTTATCGAGTTTCTTTTCCATCGGCTAAAGAACATCGTTAGTTACATTAAGGAATTCGTCATATAGAGGTTCTTTATTTCGAGGTTCCGCTCGTCTGTAGTAAACAACAATTGAACGATTCAAGCCTTTACATCGGGATGTAATTTATCGATCTGTTCAATCTTTTTTGGGGTTTAGCCTTTAAAATAAGTACCAGTTTCTTCCTTCCAAAAGTAAATACTTTTAAGTATTTAAAAGTAAGAATACGTTTATTCTAACTTAAGTTTATTCTTACTTAAAAGTAAGAATAAACTTAGTATTAAAAACACACTTTTCACGAGTTTGATATCTTTGCTAAGGGAGTTAAACTATTTACTAAACTATTTAAACTATTTAATTACGAGTACTATTAGTATATTTTCTTGTCTGTATGAATTCCAATTTTTGAACGAAGTCTGTACATTGATCATCTTTTTCATTTCTTATTTTCCGAACAGGTTCCAGCTGCCAGTACCGATATGATTCCCAGGCATTTCTTTTCTCGCTGGTTAACAAGCCAGGATGGGCACCTGTGAAACTGCCTCAGACAGGGCAGCATAGTTCTAACAGATATTCCATATACGACTGCTCGTCTTATGGACCTACTTTCGGAGGAGGCCATGACATTTACATTGCCAACTACGCGTCATCCAGTAGCAGTTCCCATGCCAACCTTGGCTATGCTTACAGCCCACCGAGCGGGTACAGCTATGGAAGCACCTTCGCCCGGACATTTCTGGCAGGAGGAAGTAATGATCATTTTACTCCAGATGAAATAGAAACATTTTACGAAACAACCTGAAAACTGTAGCATCGTATTCAACTTAAGATATTAAGATATCACACTGTATTAAGCCGGGGTAATACATTTTTTTTAACCAGGCAGTACAAAAAGAAATACATTTTAATTTGTAAATTTAATATTGAGGCCTGGAAAGTAAGTTACAGTACAAAACTTATACCATCTTATTAAACTGGTCTTTAATATAACCAAATGTTCTTATTTCTTTCTTTCAAACATTTCTCCTCGTCTGATTTGCAAAATATACACCTGTTATGTTTTTTTCATATCGAGCTGTCTAGTCAAATTTGTAATATTAATCTAGTGTTTTATGGCTGAAACTGATGTACATCTGTAACTCGATCGATTGATTTTTTAAGAAAGGCTTATAAGCTTGGGATTAGGTCTCCAAACATATAAGCAATTCATTTCGGCATGCAAATCGTAATTAAAGAACTATAGCTTTTCTGGATAGAATGAAGTACCAGGAAGTTCAGCTCTCAAATAAAACTTGCATGTTAATCTAAAGAAGAAATGAAGTAGTTGGAAAGCGATATATTTGTGGACGTAATTGTTAAAGTTTAGCAGAAGATATTCGCTTTGAGTTTTACGTTAATGCATATCCTAATTAGTTACTCTTTCGGATGATTGATTAATAGTAACATTGAATTTTTTTGGTTTGTACGAAACTGGGTCCAGTTATTTTCTTTTAATCGGATCCGAATAAGAACTCGGACTAGAAGAAGAAGCAGAAATAATAATTAAAAAAACTACATATCTTCTGTTACAAAACCTCCAGTTTTGAACTAAGTTACATTGGAATGAGTTATAGAGCTAAATCATATTTAAATAATGAAAAAAATAAAACGTTATTAACTCATTTAGAAAATACCAAAATAATTAAAAAGCTAGCTAGTATTTAAGATTACGCGATTAAAATACGAGTTCTTCACTCGCTCCGTGTTCAATTTCGGCCGGTAACTAGATTTGTGTCTTAGATTGTATTATGTGACATGCAGTTTACAGCTGAGTTTAGGCATAAGGTTTTTCAGAGCGATAATCATTTCAAAAGGAGATTGTCTTTGCTTGAAATAATGGCTTGAATTATAGATACAATAAGCTTTACCAAATTGATCAACGGTTATAATGATCATTGACATTTCTCTATGTAACCAAAGATACATTACATTTTTGTCTTCCTTTTGTCTGTGAATAACGTAATTAAACAATTCTTTGGAGTTTTCTTTAAAAAGATTTTTAAAAACACTAACATGCAATAAATTTCTCCATTGGCAAATAATAATTGTGGATTTGTAGAAATTTGTGTCGATAATATTATCGTAACTTCGTACGCCCGCCCATGTACAATACACGATTTATCGAATGGCTTCTTACACCGAGCCGTACTTTTCGCTGACGAAACATCAGTATGGAAATTCTGCGCTCGTGTCGCCAAATGTCGGCTGTTTTCTCAGGCTATGGCCACTCCCCCACAGTGACCCCGCACTATCTGGACGATTGGAAACAGTTTCATCTAAGTAACGAGGTGACTGAGATAACCTCGCCTCGTATCAGGGAGAGTTGCCACAAGCCTCTGTTTTAAAGCGAGGCTAAGTGCAAAGCCATCTGTAGTATCGATGATGTAATTGTGTACGGTCGAAATAAGTTATGGGTAATTAAAAAGCACATGGTCAAGTGTCGAGTTGAATCTGTTGTTGTGTGCATTTATTTTGGTTAAATCCGGATGTTTCACTGACCGTGAAACACTACAATTGGCGACGAGGATAAAGTGATACGAAGATACGTCTGTTTGAAGGAAAGTTATGGCGACAAATGACGGAACTTCGCGGAGTTAAGCCATTTGATTGTCGAGGAGAGAGAACGAGTGTGGGGCCAAGATGGCGGCGATGGCGAAAGTCATTTCAATTTTACGTCGATGGTCGTGGAATCACAGCAGCCGCTCGAAAAAAGGCGTTGCTTTTACATTGCGCAGGGATGGAAGTCCAAGAAATCTTTGAAACCCTAACGGATCCGGGTGCACCTGTAGGGGAAGACGACGATCCATACAAGGCTGCACTTCGAACACTCGATGCATACTTTACACCACAAGTGAATGTGCCATACGAGCGACACATTTTTCGCCAAATGAAGCAAGAAGAGCATGAAACGGTCGATCAATTTGTCGTAAGGCTCAGTAATCAAGCTGCGAATTGTGAATTTGGTGCTACGAAGAATGAGCAAATACGTGATCAAATCATTGATAAGTGCAAGTCCACAGAGCTTCGGCGAAAACTTCTGGGGAAGGGACAAGAGCTAACATTGGCAGACACGCAGAAGATTGCTCGATCGTTGGAGTTATCTCAAACCCAAGCCAAACAGATCGAAGGTGATGTGGGAGCGTCTGTTAATGCCATCAAGGAAGACAACAAACCTGGAGGAAATGGGAAAAGTGATCAGAAGAGTCTGAAATGTTACCGATGTGGACAAAGTCGACATTTGGCACGTGACAAGTATTGTCCGGCAAGATCTAAAACCTGTACAAAGTGTCACATGGCAGGACATTTTGCTTCAGTCTGCAGGACAAAGAGTAAACAAGAGAAGAAGAAAAAGGACACACGGAAACAAGGTGGACGAGGAAAAGTCAACTGCGTGGAGGATGGTGAAGATGGTGAATATGCTTTTACTGTGGGACTCGGTAAAACATGGGACAGGAGTGGATCAGAGATAGTCGATTTACAAGTTGGAGGTGTCATTCTTAATGGAGTTCTCATCGACTCAGGATCATCATGTAATATCATTGATCAGAACACGTGGGAAGAATTGAAGCAAAAAGGAGTAAAGTGCAAGTCAGAAAAGACAAATCAGAAATTGTATCCTTATGGAACTTCAGAACCACTGGACACACTGGGAAAGTTCGAAGCATCAGTAAACCTAGCTGGAAAAGGTGTCACAGCTGAATTTATTGTCATCTGCAATGAAGGCAGGCCAATAATGGGCAGGAAGACAGCCATGGAATTAGATGCACTAAGACTGGGACCACAAGTTAATGTTGTAAGTACACCAGACCTTGTTGATAAATACAAAGCATATTTTGAAGGAGTGGGCAAGTTAACTGATTATCAAGTTAAGATCCATGTGAATAAAGAAGTCAATCCAGTTGTTCAGCATCCCAGGCGAGTGCCATTCAGTCTGAGAGAGAAAGTAGAGAGCAAGTTGCATGAGTTAGAGCAGCTGGACATTATTGAGAAAGTGAAAGGGCCAACACCGTGGGTCAGCCCAATAGTAGTAGTTCCCAAACCTTCTGGTGAGATTCGATTGTGTGTTGATATGCGCAGAGCGAATGAAGCTATTGTGAGAGAAAGACACCCAATTCCCACTGTTGATGAGGTCCTCCAGGGCATGACCCAAAGCAGTGTGTTCTCTAAGTTAGACCTTAAATGGGGCTATCATCAACTGGAACTGAGTGAAGAATCACGTGACATCACAACATTCACAACACATGCTGGACTTTATCGTTACAAGAGATTAATGTGTGGTGTAACCTCAGCTCCTGAGATCTATCAGCATGCTATCCAGCAAGCTCTGCATGGATGTGAAAGAGTGCGTAATATATCTCATGATATCATTCTTCATGGTAAAGATGACCAGCAACATGATGAGAGGCTCGAGAAGCTGCTAGAAAGATTGCAACAAAGAGGTTTGACCTTGAATAGTGCGAAGTGCAAATTCAAGATGCCCCAGTTAGAATTTATGGGATACCTATTGTCTACACGTGGTATTGGACCGATAGAATCCAAAGTTGAAGTAGTAGTCAACGCCAGAGAGCCTGAGTCTGTAGCCGAAGTGAGAAGTTTTATGGGACTTGTGTAATTCAGTGCAAAATTCATTCCAAATCTGGCCACAGTTTCAGAACCACTTCGACAGCTGACACGAAAAGGTGTAACCTTCAAATGGGGTGAGAAGCAACAAGAAGCGTTCAAAGCTCTGAAGGAAACACTAGCAAGTGCAGAAACATTAGCTTACTATGACAAAGATGCCAAAACAGGAGTCATTGCTGACGCAAGTCCAGTTGGACTGGGTGCTGTTCTTGCTCAAGAACAAAATGGCAATTGGAGACCAGTCTACTACGCAAGCCGAAGTCTAACAGCAGTTGAAAGAAGATATTCTCAAACAGAAAGAGAAGCTCTGGCTCTAGTCTGGGCTTGCGAAAGGTTCCATCTTTATCTGTATGGAAAACATTTCGAACTGGAAACTGATCACAAACCACTTGAAGTGATCTATTCAAGTAAATCTCAGCCCTCTGCGAGAATTCAAAGATGGGTCTTACGACTTCAGCCATATGAGTTTACAGTGATGTATCGTCCAGGCCCACAGAACATAGCTGATGCTTTATCTCGCCTAACCCAAGAAATTTCAAACGAAAGCAAAAATGTGGCGGAAGAATACATTCGGTACGTTGCAGAGAATGCAGCCCCCAGAGCCATACCTATCCAGGAAATTGAAGAAGCATCTGCTGGAGATGAAGAAATTGCAATGTTAAGGAAGTGTGTTCAGACCAATGATTGGGCTGTCGGCGAGCCAGCTTTTAAAGCTATGAGAAACGAGTTAACTGTGCTAGGAAAGTTAGTGTTGAGAGGAACTAGATTAGTCATTCCGATGAAACTTCGCAAGCAAGTACTGGATCTGGCACACGAGGGCCATCAAGGGATCGTTAAGACTAAGCAAAGACTCCGTACCAAAGTATGGTGGCCCGGTATAGACCGTCAAGCAGAACAAAGGTGCAGAACATGTCATGGTTGCCAGCTTGTCGGGAAACCTTTACCCCCAGAACCAATGAAGAGAACAGAGTTGCCTACACAGCCATGGCAAGACCTTGCGGTAGATCTGCTAGGACCCCTTCCGACGGGTGAATATCTACTTGTGGTTGTTGATTATTTTAGTCGATTCTTTGAAGTAGCTGTAACCAAATCAGTGACATCTGGCAAAATGATTAGCTGTCTGGAAGCAATGTTTGCTACTCATGGACTACCGCTGTCAATAAAAACAGACAATGGTCCACAGTTTGTGTCACAAGAGTTTGAAGTCTACCTCAAAGATAACAACATTGAACACAGAACGTCAACTCCAATGTGGCCACAAGCCAACGGCGAGGTGGAGAGACAAAATAGAAGTCTGCTGAAAGCGATGCGGGTTGCGCACAGCGAGGGACGTGACTGGCGAAAGGAATTGCAGAAATTCTTGCTCGGTTACAGAAGCACGCCACACACAATTACTGGAGAGAGTCCTGCTAAACTGTTATTTGGAAGAGAGATTCGTTCAAAGCTCCCAGGTGTGGAAGAGTTACGCTCAGCTAGTAATGACAGTGAAGTCTTGGACAGAGATCGTGAAAGAAAGCAAAAAGGCAAAGACTATGCTGATAATCTGAGAGGTGCTTGTGAGTCTAACCTGAGAGAGGGAGACAAAGTTCTTCTTCAGAAACCGAAGTCAGACAAGCTGCCACCATCATTTGAAGCCACACCCTATGAAGTGGTCAACAAACATGGAGGTCATGTGGAAATTAAGTCTCCTGCTGGCATTCACAACAAAAGAAATGTTACCCATCTACAGAAGTATGTGGAGGACAAATCACAGGAAACAGAAACCAGCAATCCTAAAGGGACTTTGTCAAAAGACCCAGAAACTAATCTGGAAGAGGAACCAAGAGTTTCAACTCAGCATTATGCGTTGCGGCCTAGGCCCCATCGTCAACCTGAGAGACTAAAAGATTATGAACTTGGTTAAGACTTTGTTTACACAATGGACAGTTCTTGCGAAGGACATTTCACCTTTATGAAATGTCATTTTGTATTGATTTAAGTCTTGGACATTGGATCATTTTTCCTTGGGTTAGTAGCCATTGAGAGACTGTTATAGTTTGTATTGTTATTTTGTTTAAGAAACCGGACTGGACAATTTATTCGAAAAAGGGAGAGATTGTAGTATCGATGATGTAATTGTGTACGGTCGAAATGAGTTATGGGTAATTAAAAAGCACATGGTCAAGTGTCGAGTTGAATCTGTTGTTGTGTGCATTTATTTTGGTTAAATCCGGATGTTTCACTGACCGTGAAACACTACACCATCTTCTCATATCAATGGAATGACAGGCTTGACCTAAGTAAGCCAAAAAGATTAGAACTACGCCTTAGCCCTTTATTAAATCAGTGGACAGAGGCGAGCCAACCGCATTTGCAATTTTACAGTCCGACTGTGGAGAAGACATGAAACGCAACAGTGCAATTCAGTTCCTCTCGTAGTTTGTCGCATGGAACTGTTAAAGGGCGATATATTTTTTTTTTTCAGTGACCGGCGCGTCGTCAGGGTGGTTCTGATATCATTGCTAAGTTACTGAAGTTTCCGCAAAAAAGGCAGTGCCCTATAGTTAGTTCTTTTTTTTGTCCACTTGTCGAACTGTAAGAGTACAAGGCTTAAAGCCTAATAAAGGGAAGGGAAAGCTTTAGGAGCTTCTGTTTTTTAGTTTAGGTTCAAGTGTGGCTTGGCCAGACATCAAATTGCGGCAGTATAAAGGGTCCTGCAGAACTACACTCTGTAATGGTTCCGTTTTATCTTTGGTTTAAATTTTATTTTTCTTTGTTTGAAACTCATCATCGTAGATTACCACACCCAGAAATCAAGGAAGATACAATTTGGACCAAGATAATATCGAGCCACAACAGATCCACTGACTAGGATAACAGTGGAATCACAAAAGGCGTCCCTTCAAGAAAAATGAATGGACAGTTAATTAACAGAGAGTGTTAGAAACAGAGGTTTAAAACTGAAAGGGAAGGCAGAAACAAAACCGTTGTATTATCAAGAGGCTTGATGAAGATCCCGTTTCTAATGTTTTTTTTAGTAGGAACTAGAAGAGTATGGAGTGGAAGCCTGAGTATTACTGGTGAATGCTTTGTCTGAAATTTTTGTTGTATATCCTTTATTTTTTTCTTTTTCATTGTATTTACAAACTCGATGCTTAAAAGAAGTTTTGTTCTGATAAGGCAAAAGAACACAGTGACATGTTAATGAGCCAGCTTGCATAAAGTGATGTAAGCATATGCATATAGTTATCCAACGACCTTCTCTGTCTCTTAACTACCGGTTAAACTGGTTATTAAACGCGACGTACAAGTTCATTTTCCCGCATGAAGTTTTCTTTTCGTTAAATATCCACCTCGATATTTGTAATGTTGATGCTAAAACTTGAAGGTGCTATTTAGTTGGTCCACTTGTTTAACGTTTCAGACGGTAAGAAACATAAAAGCTTTTTCCGCAAAATGAAATCTTAAAACTTAAAAATTCAATATCAAAAGGGAAGAAACATTTTACGAAACTTGTTGAAGTACTATGAAAGGTCTGAAAGGATTTTGAGTGACGGTTACAATACAAATTAATTTGAGTTTATGTGGGCATGCGTAACGTTAGCTTCCACAACACTTCCATGAGGCAACCATGCTCCATTCGCTTTGGCTTGCGGTCGTCATGTGGATACCATAGGCTGAAACTAAAAATTCGACAAGTAAAAAACATAATTAACAACACATAGACAATGGCCCACGTTCGATGTATTAATATTCTAACATGACTCCGAGGCTTTAGGGTCAAAATTGCAAATTTTTCACTACTCCATTGTCTCGCAATTCCGAGAAGAGACTTGAGCCGGGTGGACTCAATCAAGATTTCTGTTTCACGTGACTTGCGCGCGCGCACACTCGCTTGTAGCTGCTTGTTTTCACGCGCGCATTTGCAAATTTTCATTTTTCCGCTATAACGAACTCACATATTTTCCCTGATGAAGGCAGCATTGCCGAAACGTCGGAGTTTTATTTGCAATTATCAGCGTCTTTTTCTATTACTTTAAATAACAATGTAATTAAGCGGGTTTTTCACTTCACGTATCTAGGTATAGTTTTTGATGACCGCCTTAGCTGGAACGAGCAAATAAAGTACCTAATTTCGAAGGCGGGAAAACGCGTAGGAATGCTCGGCAGGCTTCGCAGAAGCCTCACTAGAGAGAGTGCAAATGTAGTGTATTGTAGTCTAATTAGGCCAATTTTAGAATACTGTGTAAGTGTGTGGGGCTGTTGCGGGGAAGGTCGTAAACAAGACCTTGAAGCCCTCCAAAACCGGGCTGCTAGGATAGTGGTTTGTACTGTGCGCAGCAATCAGGCATTGGACGTTCTGAAATGGCCCACCTTGGAGGAGCGCCGACGTCAATCTGTTTTTAAACTCGTTAAGAAATGCCTGCAAGGTCAATGTCCCCAGTATTTTAAACAATATTTTATACGTAATAATACAATCCATACGCGCGCTACTAGACAAAGCAACCTCTTACATCCGCCTGCTGTGAGAACTGAAATTGCAAAAAGATCCTTCTATTATTATGGTTGCACTCTTTTTAACGAATTATCTTAATGATATTTCGTGTTTTACATCTTTTAATCTTTTAATTGAAAATAGTCTTCTATTTATATTATTACCTGTATTAGTGTAATGTTTATATGTTTAGTGTGGTTTTTGTGCGTTGTTGCTCAGGGCTCCCATTGATAACAGACAGCTTTTTGCGTCTGAAGGGGCTACCCTGAGCGGTATAAATTAATAAAGGTTCTTCTTCTTCTTCTTCGTTTAACTTACCACCTTCCCACTTTTAGCACACACAAACGCTACTCAGGAAACCCCTTTATTTGTACCAAAGAAAATAAAACTAAATATAGAAAAATGACCAGAAAGCCTCGGAGTAATGTTGAAGAGAATTTTAATACAGTATATTGAACGTAATGTGCCAACCAGAAGCGCGTTGGTTCTTGAAACAAAATTTGTTTCACCCGTTACACATTTGAATAACAAAAACGATGTTTGTAAACAATAGGGCCATTTATACGAGGAAAAATAAGACGCGTCTTAAATAAGACGCGAACTGTACCATTTATAAGAGCATGTCTTATCTAAGACAAGAACAGCTCGTATAAATGGTTGGCGTCTTATTTCTGTTCTTGACTCGTTTTCATGTGAATGTTGCCCGTAGCAACGGCAATCCAACGTGGCGCGCCAAAAATTTACGCATGCGTATTATGCGTTCGCGTCTTATGTAAGACGCGAGGGCCATTTATACGACGTTTTTCTCGTCTTAGCTAAGACGCTTCTTATCTAAGAACAGGTGTTAAGGGCTGTTCTAAAATAAGACCGCGTCTTAGTTTAGACGAATTGTGCCGTTTATACGGAAAGTTCGCGTCTTATTTAAGACGCGTCTTATGTAAGACGCGTCTTATTTTTTCTCGTATAAATGGCCCTAATGAGTCTTCGTATTGCTATTTTCTTAATCGTCAAAGGATGATCCTAATTTATCAACATTAAAATCTTGAGTGTTAAACCCTATGCTAACCGAGCTAGAAAATAACACAGTAAATTCTCTCTTTGTAATAAACACGAAAGTACTGCCACACTGTTTTTACATGTGCTGCTGGAGACGGTGTCGCCATTTTCACCAGGCCATCTGAGGCATGAGAAGGTCTAGCCGGGGCAAAAGCAGTATCTTCATTTTTCAGCTATTTTAAGACCGTCCCTGAGTATTGGTCCAGCACAAGGGATCGAACCCTCGATCTCCCGCTGTCCTGTCCAGTACTTTAAGAGCGCCTGTCCGTAAAAATCAAACATATCGCGGCAAGGGTAGAAAATTCGATTTCTTTCATATTTTAATGTTAGATAGGCCAGGGTATAACTAAAATCACTGTATGGTTTTTTTGGTGAAATATCCTTTTATTTCAGAGATAAATGCAAATAAGCAAAATACATTAAAATCGTCATTTGAGGCGCTCAATTATTACATGGGTTTGAAAGCCTCGCGTGCAAAAACGGATTACTCTACCGTCTTTAAAACATCACAGCCTTCTTTTACAACTTCTAAATATCTGTTAAAATGATTTGGGGAGATAGTGCTCTGTTCTTTGTGTACAATATACTTTAATTTCGAAGGCATACAATTTACTTCAGTAAAAGTAATGCGTGAAAAAACGTAATTTTCACCATGTGCGAAACCTTCAAATCGATTGAGCTGCTGGTGGTTGAATTTTAGAAGGGTGGTCTACAGATTCCTGTAAAAATGTCTTTGGGCAAGTGATTAATAGCCACGCGAGAGCTTTACAAAATCTGTTAAAAATGCAGATTTTTGACCTTCTGCGGTCAACTTTGAAGTTGCGAGTCGGACATAAATTTAGTCCCTTCATTTTTCTAAACCCACATTAAGTTAAAATAAGCAGATAGAAAACCGTTTCGAATTGTTTTTACCTTATGATGAGCAGTAAAGGACCGGTCCAAAGATCATTTTAGCACGATTTTCCGGTCGTTCGTCGCTTGACCTCTGGTTTGTAACGTCTGCAATTAATACACCTCACACCCGACACACCGCACCTAGAAACCCTTTATACACGACTAAAGAGTTTTGTTAAAGCCGATTTATCAACGAATACTACGCATTTGCACGATGGCATTACTTTGCTTTACCTTTCATGTATTTTTTTTTTAAATTTAGTAATCCCAGCAAGATCAAAAGTCCTGATTTGTACAAGAAAGCGAACTGAGGATTCTGGTCGTAGCATAAAATGGTGTCATCGTTAGTTACGACATAATAAACATCGACAAAAAACTGAACCTGTTGGCACTGCGACAAAAAATAGAGTTAAGCCTTTGCAAAAAATTGGAAAATTTTGTAATTAACAAAACTTGAAAGATGCCTACAGCTTTTTTTCAGGCGGCAAAATCCTCTGTTCCTTTTTTTTTTGACAGCTATCCTTCGTTGGGTCATCTTATTTCGCGAACGTTACCAATTAACGTTATTGGTTACACTAACAACTCGCGTATCACATTTGCGAACAGGGTTTCAAAAATGAAAAAGAAGCAAGAATCATTGTTGCAGGCGCTAATCAAAAGGGGTATGCTGCTAGTTGCGACCTGTTGTACACGAATTTTTGTGAGCGTAATCAGTTCTTGTTTTGTATAAAAAGGTTATGAAAGTTTTCTGTACAGATTCTTCGAGACTTGTGCCTTTTATTCGTTAAAACACCGAAGTCCCTTTAAACACTTTACACGAATGTATAGTGATTGCGGCCCGGGAGAGATGGGGATGGGTAATCCCTTATATCGGCTATATAGGTGTGTGCGGCGCCAAAGAGTATGGTTTTTTATCTTTTTTGGTCTAAAAAAGGGTATCAGTTTCGACCAGTTTGGTCTGGGTATGTTTTTTTAGAAGAAGCTACTTCTTCATAATTAGGCGATAAGACCATTTCCCTTTGGGTTTTAGGCTAACCGGGTACGTTTCGTAACAGTACAATTTTGTACAGTTTTGTGTCCTACTTAATCAAAGCGTATCAACATTGCCTTTAACATTGGTCTGACCTAGGGAACTGATTATAAGGCAGGTCTGAAATAGGGTATTTATTTAAGGATCAGGTCTGAAGTAGGGTATCAAATTTTTGATCAGGTCTGAAATAGGGTAGGAAAAATCTCAGATTTTGGTCTGAAATAGGGTAAGGGTTTCAGAAGGCGTGCCGCACAACCCCGCCAAAATTTTTCTGGAAGTACCCCCCCTTCCCCGCCCGACACCGCCAGGGATTGCGTGAATAGCGCGCGCACTGCAAAAGATTGTGACGTCACAGCTTATGCAAACCCGACTTTTGCATGGGCTGATTTAGCAACAGAACGCGAACGTCAGTTGACGACGGGGAAAGCGCGCGGAAACGACTAAACGCGACTTTCGTTGCCAATGTGCCGCTCTGTTGTTTGATTTGCGCGCGCCGTCGTCAACTAACGCTCCCGTTCTGTTGCTAAATCAGCCTAGAGTTGTGTTTGCAAGAGAGTTTGTAGTAATGACGTCACGATCTTTCACGGTGCGCGCGCTATTTACGCGCTATCACTTTGCTCTTTATCTTCGAGATTATCCTCGTCATCAATAAGCAGATCGTCCCATTCCTCTTGTATTCCTACTATTTAAGAAAGTTATGAGGAGTAGAGAGAGGGCGCTTATTCGATAGGGGCGCTTGTTTGATATTATGGCCAACGGGGTGAGCGCTTATTCGGGGACGGGCGCTTATTAGAGCGTGGGCCCTTACCGAGGTAATACGTTACACAGATATGTAACAGGTTAAATCAAAAAGAGTTAAAATGAACGCACAGGACAGACCACCAAACGCGTTCAGATGCATTTATACAAAATAGAAATATCGTTTGTTGAAAGGAAAAGTTAACAAGCGCCTCCCTTATTAAGCGCCCTCCTTCCAGTTTAAGCACCTCTCCTTTTAGCCGAGCTGGGGCGCTTGTTCGAGGAAATACGGTATTTACATGTATTTATATTTGCAAAATATATCGAAGTTTTAAAGAGCTGTCTCGTAACACCACCACTACTATGATTCTAAGAGAAGGGTTGGGAAATGACCTTTATGTCAGAGGTCCCTAGACTGTGACTGCATGCTTACGTTAGAGTTTGTTCTACAGAATTGCAGCTGCAGACTTTTACTAAATTCTTTAACAACTCCAAGTACGACTTCCTTTCGGCAGGTTATGGCACTGATAACGGTCCTGATACCGTTTAATAAAATCACCCAGTCCGGGAGCTGACAACCAAAATTGTGAATAAACAAAATGACCAGTATTTGGATCTTAATAGGGAAAGACCGTGTCTAAGGGTATCACTATCTTAAGCTATAGATTGTCTTCATTCACTCTATACCGGAGAGCTTTTGTGCAGGCACAAAAAGAAAGCATATCCGATAGGGCTTCTGTTCACGCAAAGAAGGGTGATTTCGGTCCGAAAAAGCCCCGGGTGGTTACTTGGGTTAATTTTTTCTGGGTATGTGCCCGCTGGCCTCTCAGAGCCCCTACCCCATTATAGTCTATTTTGTGGCCAATTATAGACCCCATCTTAGTCACTTTTGGGCAAATATGTAATTTTCGCCATCCCAACCTTCACTTTCACTGTCTATTTTCATGAATTGACCCATTTTTTAGATTGAATGAGACCACTTTACTTTCCGTCTGCAGTAAAAAAATTGTGGTACGTTTGCTAACCGTAAATATGACGAACAGTCTTACCCCCAAAAATCCGAAAATGTGTGATCCCATTCTAGTAACTCTATTGAAAATGCGACCCCATTATAGTCAATCAGTCGTAAAAATGCAACCCCATCCAGCGGCGCATCCCCATTAGCCTCTTATAAGTAAGTACCCCAGTCCCCCCCCGGGGAAAAAGCAAAGCTGCGACGCGCCGATCGGTAAACAGGAGAGTCACATACCGGATAGGTGTTCATACTTTACCGGACAGCTTTTTGTGTCTGCACGAAAAGCTATCCAGTATAGTGATCGGCCTTAATTATTGCTGTTGTTCTCGTTGTGGCCGTTTGCTACTTCACCCTTCTCCACCCCGCTAAATTGGATTGCGTGACTTACAAACGCTGCCTGCAATTCAAGATGTGAGCACCAGCATTTTGGGGCATTCTGTTGTAACAGTCAGATGTAGTATCTGCGCGGTAATATTTTCAGATACTACATTCTAAGCAATGTTTAACAAATGACTGAGCCGTCGAAAAAGATGAAGTCGTAATGAAAAGCCCCGAAAGTTGGCCAAAGAATTGTATTTGTCCGGTGAATACGTTGACAGTTGGCGTGGTGTACAATTACACGTTACAAGACAAAGATCAAACGACTCAATAAGCGGGCTAAAATAGCCTTTGGACTCGTCTTTTACAGCAGATTTTAAGGTAAGAACATTTCAAAAGGGTTTCCTAATTGTTTATTATAATCTACTGCGAGTTTAGACAAGTGACGGGACGAAATTTTTGTCCGCCTCGCAACTTCAAAGTTCGGTCACGGAGTCAAGTATCTGCATTTTTAACAGATTTTGTAAAGCTCTCGCGTCGCTATTAATCATTTGCCCAAAGACATTTTTTCAGGAATCTGTAGACCATCCTTCTAAACTTCAACCACCAGCAGCTCAATCGATTTGAAGGTTCCGCACATGGTGAAAATTACGTTTTTTCACGCATTACTTTTACTGAAGTAAATTGTATGCCTTCGAAATTAAAGTATATTGTACACAAAGAACAGAGCACTATCTCCCCAAATCATTTTAACAGATATTTAGAAGTTGTAAAAGAAGGCTGTGATGTTTTAAAGACGGTAGAGTAATCCGCTTTTGCATGCGAGGCTTTCAAACCCTTTTAATAATTGAGCGCCTCAAATTACGATTTTAACGGATTTTGCTTATTTGCATTTATCTCTGAAATAAAACGATATTTCATCGAAAGAACTATATAGTGATTTTAGTTATACCCTGGCCTATGTAACATTAAAATATGAAAGAAATCGAATTGACCACCCTTGCCGCGAAATTTTGAATTTGTCTGATTTTTACAGACAGGCGCTCTTAAGTACTGAGCCAACGATGCCACGGTTAAAACAAGAGCTCAGTTTAAAAAGATCTTATGCTATGTTCCATTGATTCGGTGCTCTAGCAATGCATGCCTCAAAATTACGTAAACCTATGAAAACGTTCTAACCTCCCCACTTTCTTCCACTGAAAGTAACTGCTGACCAGAACGTCTCTGGACTGACAGACACCATATTTTCAGGGATTCCTGTGCTCAGTTTGAGGAACGCTGCGTTTTTGATGTCATAAAAGTGCTTGGAAGAGATTTTCTTCCAGGAAACTCCATCATCGGTGCTGCGGAGGAAGTTCATGGCACGGTCCACTCCAAAGAGCCAGCCGCTTCTTTGGTCCAAAGCTATGACACTGATAATGTGCTCTGAAATATCTGAAAAAATAGGTACGTATTCGGAAGGTACGTCATGCTGATAATTTTAATAGTATTTAAAAATTTTAATAACAACTTCCACAAAGCTAATGTGGAGCTGGTGCTTCAGAAAAGCCCTTTTGCACTAGCTTATTTGGTAAAGGGAAATTTGTGGTGTTTCCTTTCCACGTTCGTCCCAGATAAGGGCAAAACAACGGTCCATTGCCGCCACTGCCCTCAACAGAATGATTGATATGGCTATGCGCATGCGTTTCCATGACTGTATACAGTGTAGTTAATGGAGCATTGTTTTCAGATTCCATCTAAGAAGTTCCTAAAAATCTGACATCTCCCAGTCTTTCTCACCCATTCACAAGAAAAAGGTAAAAAAGGAATATACATAAAGGTAGCACAAACGTACGTTACACTGTCAAGAAGAAAACGGATGATCGTTTTTTCGTCTCGCGTAATGCAAAAGAAATAGAAGACACCTGCACGCAGGATGCATTTGTTGTACAGTACACGATCCGCTCTACCTTGATTTTTGTTTTCTTGCTGTTTTCGTCCTTGCAAAAATACTCCCGGGGAATGTAAATATCATTCATTCCTCATAAAAATGTCGTTGGAAGTTAAGCATCCTTTCAGTTCACTAAATTTCGGGGGATGCTTCCTTATATAAGCTATATAGGTACTGACTATATGCACGGCGCAAAAGGGTACAAAATTTTACCCTATACCCTTTATGGTCTGAAATTGGGTGTAGAGTTTAATCGGATTGGGTATGAATCAGGGGAAGATTTTGAGCTCTTTTTGATCCAGGATCTGGAGCTAAATATTGTTTTATTATCATTATTTTTTAACCTTTTGAGAAAAGCTTTTCAGGCCTGAAATAGGGCAGGGAAAATCACATCGTTCGGTCGGAAATAATACCCCCCCCCCTCCCCCCCGTACCTCACGTGGAAAACTCACCTCTCCAATCCTTTCCATCACTTGTTGAGAAACAGCTGCTTACTGATCTAACCACAGAAGAGTCAATCGTAACTATTACTGAAGTGCAAGACTAAAGTGAAATTGGACATGTGGGGTTGGACTGGCATATGAAAGGGATGGGAAGCGTGACGTCATTTTTGGGTTGAATTACAGATTTTAATCTCACTTAGGGTACAGTACATAACGCCAATATTTTGATTCACACAGATACACTTAAGACTTAAGGGTAACCTAGAAATGAAAAGAGGGGTACGTTTAAAATATTTTTTTGTTTCAAAACTTAGATTATTACAAATCTTATTTGGCTGTCTCTTTCAGAACGGCTTAAGCCACGCACAGAGTGTCTCCTTGAGTGTTTTAATTCTACTTTTCCGAAAAGCATTTTAATTCTAATTCTTTCAGACAGTTAACCACCTTCCCCTCTACCCCACAGGGAGTGAGGGAAAATTGCAGCTCGTTGGCTGGGGAAGAAGGCAAAAACGACGTTTGGGAATTGAAGCTCACAAAAGCCGGCCCTGTTGAGAGGTCTTTGATGAATCATTTCCTAACAAAATTTAAGGATGGAGTAGACCATCCAGCTTAAATTTAGAGCAATCTTCTTTGGCGCCAATTAAGTCCCAAAAACTAGTTTCGAACACCTTTAGACCTGAAAATGGCCTTTTTGACAATTAAATGACGCTTTGTTTACTTTGTTATATCTTACACATTGCATGGATGCATACAAACAAGGTTCATTTCTGTTAGCATAAGACATTTTCTTTCATCTTTCTTTAGCCGTTCATCATATATATTCTTCAAATGAAACATATTGTAAAATGTATACAAGGTTTCTACTTCTAAATCCTAAACAAGTAAACCACCTCTGATTGCGCCAACAACTGACGAAGTTTCTATCTGTGATTTTAATTGACGTAAACCAATCTTTGCCGGTTAGGTGTTTAAGGTTATAGTGATTTTCATGACTTATGTTGTGTACCTGTCTCTAGTGTACATGCAGACATACAACCAGCCGAACTCTTGATCCAACAAGACAGTTCTTCTATTGTACTCTGGAACACCTGAAGATACAGACAAACATTCATTTGGTGGTGATGATGATCAGTCACGATTGATCTCTGTCAGCTTGTAGTATATTACTATAAGCGCCCTTAGATTAGAGCGAAGCTCCGTGAGACCTACACTATTCGCCACTTCGTTGTTATAATTTCGTTAACTTGGTAAATCTGCAGAATTTTGGAAATAAACCTGATATTGTGGTTTACATAACCCACCAACAGGCGTGTAAAACCCAGCCAAGATCCAATTTAACGGGCTCAAACCTAATTTGTGCATGTAAACTAGCGACAGTTTGTTGTGATTGGCCGCAGAGAAGTCGCTGTTTCTTTTTAAACTTACTTGAATTTCCACTCGACTTATTGTGCAGACCTCTTGCTAGAGAAATATCAAAGATGCGTTTTTTATTGCATTCGTTTTACGGTTACTGCTGCAAACAGTTTGGAAGTCGACGAAAATATCGTTTGAAAAACGACGATCCATAATTTTACGAAAATCCCAGAAATAGAGGCTTAGAAGCTTTTATTGTATGGCTTTCTTTCTATGAAACAGGAAATTAAATAGCTACAATAGCTATTGGGTGGTCAAGTCCTGGGCAACCAAGATAGGATCATACTTCCCACTCGGTTAGCCAAACAGTGTTACACGTGCTTCGCTTCATTTTACCCGTTCGACAAAGCAGTCAATAATAAAGTTATTTCAGATTAACTTTATTTATTTTACATTTGCCACATAGAATAAATATTACAGAAAGAAAAGGAAAAATATATATATTTTAAAACTAAGACTGCAAATTTACAGGGCAGGAAAAGCTACAAAAAAAGTTCAAAACTAAATGTAATATTAAGTGACTTAACTTTTATGATTTGATGTAAGCTGCCATATCATGGTCAGGCGATTTGAATTTATAGCCCTAGACAAGGTATTTTTTAATAAAGTCTTGAAACTAGAGTAACTTGTCAGTTCCGTAAGATTATGGGGAAGGGAGTTCCATAGTTTAGGTCCTAGATGGAGGATTGTGAACTGTTTAATGTTTCTTCTACAGAAATATGGTCGGTAGTTATTAGCATTTCAAGTATTATATGTGTGTACTTGGCGATTAGTAACAAAGGTGGTGTTAAACGTATGAGGAAGGAGGTTATTATGATATGAGTACATAAAACACGCAACAAAGAACGCATTAATGTTAAAAATGTCAAGGATATTAAAAATTGACCGATCACAAAACAAGAAATGACTTAGTGATATAATAATTACCGTTATAAGGGGGCATGGGCTCTGCTATGCAGCCGTAAAGCTCAGCCCGCATTATTTTGAGAAGCGGCGCAGAAGTTGGGATGATGCGTACGAAGCGGCTGATGATTGGCTCAAGCAGTTTTACCACAACAGAATATTTTGCTTCGTGTGTATCCTTTGGACCTCTCAGTTCCTGCAACAACGATACTATGGTTTGTAGTTATGCAATAAACGAAATACATTTAAGCCAGCCAGGAAAGGATTTATTTTTCACGGGAAACTTATTTAAAAGTTTGCAACAATCTATTTTTGTGACACAGCTTTACTGCAAGTGACACGAGGGAAGACTAGTCTATTCTGGTGGGTTATGTTATTTTTAAAATTAAACTCTTTCATGTTATAACAAAAGGTGAGGTTAAAATAGCCATTTTACTCTTTATCAAGGGGAAGCAACATTTAATGTGTGAACGATTTTTCCAAGGTGAAATCGTCTCAGGAAAAAATCTCTTGCTCGTGGGATAGGATTGGTCATTTGAATAGTAACACTGTCTAATGATTTGATCCAAAGAGCTACAGGTAGGAACTTCATTTCAAAATTTCCATGACTGACTTTTGAAGTGCTTTAAACTCTTAAAAGGTTAATTGTCACCTTGGGCTGTCCATGTTCACTGTAGTCAAGCCAATCAATGCTTGTGTTGCTGTACTTTAATTGAAAACTCTCCACGTAAAATGGAAAATCCGATCCAGCAGATCCCTGTGTAGCTATTCTTGTCACCTTTCTCAAAGAGCCAAAATCAATCTAAAATGAGAAAACAAAAATTTTTCTTAAACCATTCTTTGCTCCTATGCAGTACTAGAGACCTTAAAATGTGGACGACGGCGACGACAACGAGAACGTCAAAAAAGCAATGGGTTAAATGAAACAAAACAACAAATTTGCACGTGCAGCACACCTTTTTTGTACATTTCTTTGCCGTCGCTGCAGGACTACGCGACGTAAACATTCCTAATTTCACGTTATATGGAGGAACGAAAACAAGCCCGACGAAATTTTCTTTCTCTTTCTGAACTTGGATGTCGTTCCAAGGAACTCAGCCCTTGAAGAGTTGGCCAACATTCGAAAGTAAGCGAGCTGGAATAATCATAAGCAAAAGAAGGTTGCTAAGTTTACCCAGGATTTTTCTACCTGAATATAATCTAGTGTCCCCATTGCTGCTTGCCATCCATTAGGAAATCCCCCGGGATTCTTGTTAAGGCGGATACCCGAGGGATCTGAAACAGTCAGAGTTGTGTCTACGCTATGTGTGAGAGCTTCATCCGTTATTTCTCCAGATTCCAGACCGAGAGGGTAAATGCAGTTTTCTGTATGGAAAAAGTTGGTTATGTATGACTTGAATGGAGAAAGCAAGCAAACACAAGGTGTAGCATCAGTTTCTCAGGCTTTCCTTTTTTCCAGGCAAACACGCATGTGCAGCGCGAGGGGGTAAGGAAGGGAGCGGGCGAACTCTTCCCCCTACCCACCCCGCCCCAGCTGCTTTGGTACCTGCGTTCTTAGGTCCAGTTTTCTCGCGATAGAAAGGAAATTCTGTGCAGGATGTTTTACAGAAATCGTCGAAGGCTGACATAGAACCAGTAAATTAATGGACTTCGGCTACGGCGTTTTCAGAAATACTCTGAAGTTGCCGTTGTTTTATTTTAAGCTTGTACCTCAGCATTGCAACGCGTTTTATTCAATACCAATTAAGTGTGTTTAAATACAATCATCAACTCGTGAACATACCAGGGCCTTCAGCCAAGCATCCAAACACCTCAAAGCGCATGCAAATCAATCTCTCCCAGTCCAGCGGTCTCACGCGGAGACTATAAGCCTCGATTTCATTGGTAAGCTGATGGGAGACTGGGGTTGACCTGTCTGAGTTTCCAACAAATTCCTACAAGCGAGATTAAAAGTGTTTTCATCCATGTTTAACAATACATTTGGATCGTGGGGGAGGGCGTTCTTCGAAATACAAAGCTCTGACTTTTCCTTACCTTAACAAACCCGTTCTCTGTATAATTATGCCATACAACGTCATCACTACTGAATTGCATTATGTAACGCTTTACCCAATGTGACTTCTGACTTCTTCCATAAGTAACGATGCGTGTCACGCGTGTGTTCCTCGTGAAATCCAGCTGAATGTACTGCTGCGTGTCGGTAATAAACGCGCACCACGCATCATTTTCTTCACCTTTGATAGTAAGAAAATCCACCGATTAAAATGAGAATCCCTTACTTACGCCAGTCATAATATGATTAAATTGATGCCATGCTGGAGACGTGATTAATTGCTCCAGTTTTAATTTCTGTTTATTGTAACCAATAGAATTGCTGTCACGCCTTCATGCTATACCATTTGCACATTTTAATGTATATCTTTTTGAACTGCCCTTAATACACTTTGTTTGCCTCCCAAACTTTTCCTCAAGCATGAAACTTTTCCATTTTCTCCTGGTCCCAAAATAAACTTGAAAACGTTGCTTATCCAAAAATATTAAGGGGTGGGGCGAGGTGGGGGCAAGCAAGTGTATGATTGTGGGAAATTTGAAATTGTTGATTTCATAAATTTTGTTCAATGTAAGGGTAACTGCCTTTTACTGTGCAGTGAACACTACCTGGAAAGACACATAGGCAGGACTCAGTATTTTCGTATTTTAAAATTCGTATTGGCACAAGATGGAAACAAGTTCCCTCTTCCCCATACGCCAACTGATGTCATTCCTAATTTTTCAGATGATAATATTTTAAACCGTCTAATATACGGTCACCCCAGCAAAGCTTTCCGGAGAAGGACTGAGAAGGAGGGAGAGAGAGTCAATCTTACTTGGTCGGGCTTGATTTGGCTGTGTCTCCGAATAACTGGATGACGCCGTAATTTGATAATCTTTTATTTCACCAGACGCCATTCCAAGAGCAGCTGAACATCCTAAAATTAAACCAACACGCGTTTAATTGGTGAAGTCTTACACTCAGTCCAAGCCCAAAGAGTATTTTACCTTTGATTCCCCTTCAACTATTTACTAGAAATACGTGTGTCGCAGAGCCTCGCGTGGCTCCTGTTTATAAGACTGTCATTTGCACGGCCCCACTAGCGTTAATGCTATAAATACTGCCAAGGGTAAATAATGGAATTATTTTTTATTAATCTTTTTTTAAAAACACTATCCACTGTTTTATTTAGTATATACTAAAAGCTAACGAGTTTGACTTTCAATGTATATTTACTTTTCGTTCTCCCGCGACAGTCGTCGTGTTTCCAAACGTCCGCACTAAGAGATTCCTTGGTTCTTAAACAAGTTTAATCTGTACTTTAAGCGCTGGACTCGTTGTTGATTCCATCTGTCATTGCTGGCAGTCCTACCCTTTATAATTAAAAGGAGTTTTTTGCGCAAAACATGAATTTATGCATAGCACGAAACTGGAAAAACAGTGACCAACAGGTGCCTTTGTGTCAGAAAAACGCGTCCGGATAACGAGTTGTTTTCAGGAACCTTTTCAATTTCCAAAGGAAAAGCCCTGGCAACCTTTTACTCAATGAATTCCGACCAATTAGTAAATTTTAACAAGCTTATCTTCGCTTAACAATTTGGGCTTACCGCAATTAGAATTTTACCTGGGATTTCGACCTTAATAGCAACTGTCTGCAAAGGACTGGAGAAAGCAACTCCTTTTGATATCACGTGTCCATCTTGATCGTCGTCGTATTCCTTGTAATACAACAATTGTACAGGGGTCACTATATTATGTAAGCCAGTCTTCAAGGAGTGTTCACCGTCGAAAATGACACTGAAGTTTAAATGTGCTTCGCTTTCCAACGGTGTCTGGTCGATCTGAAATTTTTAACAAAAGATTTGTTACTTATGGCTTTATTGGGTAGCACTAATAGCGAGACTCCCTTCTGCGCAAGCGCATGGAGTCAATACTTTACAGTCAGCTTTATTTACTGAAAGTTTTAAAACTTACGCCGGGAAAACAAACGGAATTATCTTGCGTAACTCGCAAAACAAACCAAAAGAAGTATCCCCTAATCATGTTTAAGGAATTTCCACCCTGTACGGCTGTACGATTAGATAATGTAACGATTAAAACGAATTTGTTGTCGTTGTCAGTTCACCAAAATGTAAAATCAACCTGCCTTGAATGTCACACTATCATCTTTTTGTTCCACCCTATAAGATCCTACAAGCGAGGACGATGTAACCTTGCTGATCTTTACGAAAGGCGTCAGCATCCAAGTCACGTGAACGCCACGTGCGTCTGCCTGAGAATCTGGGGAGTGTTTTACCAAGAACGTGTACTCATACTCAGATCTGAGAAAAGAAATCAAGCTACATAATAAATAATCTAGGCTAATGAGTTTAGTCATAATAGTCCAGCGACATCAATTCAGACTGAATTAGGGCTTGTGATTACCATAAAAAACAATTCGATCATTTTGAGATTGAAGAAGTCGGAGGTGATGTATATAAACAGAAGCATTTAAAGCCAAACACATGTCAGTAAAACAATGTCACGTCTTCTTTCACTTTTTGATAGCGTTTAGTAGCAATAAAAGAGAGCTGCAATAGTTGAAATGGTACGGCGCTCACGCTACACCGCGATCTTCAGCAAGCTTATACAGTGTATAGAAAGATTATAAATTGTTGATGCGTGAAATCATAGGCCAAAAAATAATGGTTGGTAGTGCGGAAAGACAAGGATACTGTACAATACATTTGACCAGACTGACAAATATTTTTAAAAAGAGGGTGCGCTCGGAGCTCTTCCTTTATCTAATTCGAAATAACATTATTGATGTAAGTATGTAATACAGTCAACTCTCGCTAAGTCGGACACCCCTGGAGCCGGTACTAAGTGTCCGTCTTAGAGAGATGTCCGTCTTATAGAGAGTCAAATAAAGGGTGTAAAGAAAGGCGAGGGACCAACTCTAGGTGTCAGTTTTACAGAGGTGTCCGTCTTATAGCGGTGTCCATTAAGAGAGAGTCGACTCTACCTCTATGCAAATTTTTTTGTTTCTTACCCATGTGTTATACCGAAGCTGTTGTTAAGGAAATGGGTTGCTGTCAACTGTAGACGAGGATCACCCTAAAATGGACATTAACACAAAAGTGTTTCATGCGAACCCAAGCACTACAAACGGCAAGCAGCCGATGGCCACAAGGGATTATTTTAAGTGTACTTCTTCTATCCAAGAGGCAGGTAGTTTTTACAGGTAACATTCCACAGGTCAGAATACAGGTGACCGTGCTACAGATAAATAAACAAGACCAGAGGTGTCTCCTAGCCCTAATCCTTATCCAGTTCTTGATCGAGGGGAAATTACTTGGTTTACTTAACTATCATTATTATTCATTCAAAATATTTCCCCGATTCTGATTGGCCAAAAGCACACCCACAATTCACCATAACCAGCTACTGGTGACCAAATTTGGAAGAATTTTGCGTTTAATGAACTGATGACGTCAAAAGTGCATCTTTCTTGCAGGTTAATGCACCGTTAACCTGGAAGACCTGGGAATGAGGTTGAGTTCTTTTGGTTGTGAAAAAAAAAATGGCGGACATTTTATGGTTTCAAGAGTAAGAACTAGGCGAAATAATAGCTAAAAACATGGCAAGAACAGCAAGAAGACAACTCGAAGAGGCGAAATCTCCTATTTGGAGAATATTTTAGGAGCTGAACAACCCTAAACGTGCACTTTCAAAGATGAACTCGGACGGTGCTATCCCCCTCGGCCTATGGCCTCACGGATAATACCCTCCTCGATCTCCATAATTGTTCACAAGATACTCAGCCTCATTCATTAATTGTTAAATAAAATAGTGACCTGTAATCGTGACCTCTACTATCCAAGGACAATTTTAGTGGATTTATTTGCAACATACGCGTACCACTGTCGCATTTGCCAAATGGAATTTTTCATTGAATTTAGGCCTAAAGACAATAAACAATTCCAGCGGGAAAATGTGACAGCTATACGCGTATGTTGCAAATAAATCCACCCTTAGAATGGAACAAACTCCCAAGAGAAATTGTATTATCCACTTCACTAGCTGCATTAAAAAACGCAATTTTTAACATCTCTGACTTTTTATTATTCGGTGTTTTTGTTACTGTTATTGCTATTGCTTTTTAACTATACTTTTGTCATTATTTTAGAGCGGTCTAAAATGTTCGGTATTAGGCGACAGACAGTAAATAAATAAATAAACATCAGGTGAATAAGATTGAGTCAGTAAGCATTTTATCATATGACCACTGTATTTTTGAATTTTTCTGACGGAGTCAAAAAGCGTCCGTGCAGCATTTGCCTCGTTTCGCGCCCATTTTTCAAGCAGGGCCTTGAGCGTTTTTCCGACCTTATCACTTGACGCGTACGGCCCTCTTTTATGAGACGGTGATGATACACTGAGAAGAGAGTTGAAAATACGACTCGCAGCGGAGTATTTTTGACGAAATTCTAGGTGTTTCATCTGATGATGAAACACTGTGTCGAATGCTTGATATTACTTCTCTCACAAAATGATTTTAGAAATAGAAATTAAGGATGCAACACTGAGCAGTTAATCATCTGATTTCCAAACCCTCATTGAACGTTTGAAAATTTCCTTTTCAATTTTTGTATGAATTATTAATGAGTTTGAGCAAGAGATTGAGAAATGGGTTTCGACGATATTTCGCGCGGGACCGTACGGGGCATATGATAAAAACGTTTACTCTACGCGAGTTTAAAATCAGAAATTCAAGGCTAAAACAATATAATAGTATTGCTGTTTTGCAGCGGCCCCCACTGCATTCACCTTGGTTTACAAAAACAAAACCGTCTCTCTTTCTCTCGTGTCGGCACGAAAAGTTATCCGGTATTGCTGGTTTGCACGTGACGTCAGAGCGGCCTTGTTGGTAGTGTGTTAGGGTTAAGAACAAAAGCATTTGTCTCCTCTGGGAAATAAATCCTATTTTCATGTAAATTCTTCTAGGAATAGCTCTATTGTTTTGACCACCTACACACCACCAACATGACCGCCTTGTCACGTGGTTGCAAGCGAAGAATAGTGTCAACATAGCCTCATACTCTCATTTAAGGCTTCCTGCGAATCATGATCAGTTCCTGCGTTAGTTCCGGAACAACGTAACAATTATTTATAGTCTGTCAAATTTGAACTGTCGGATACTTCAGATGAATATTGGAAGAAGAAGAAATGTTACATTAATATCAAATCCTTTTCTAAATCTCAGTAACAAAACAGAACTTTTTTTCTTTATTTTTAATTGTGTAAGTGGTAGACATTTTCAGGATAGTTAATCCTCGTACTTTGTTCAGGTATGAAAATTATCGTCCTCACCCAAAAAAAGAATTAAGCAAGCACTACATTAATTTTTAAAAAAGAATTGACAAAGTCTAATCACCGTTAAAATTGACGTGAACACATATTCCAAGCCAATCAGACCGAACGATTCGAAATCAATACTATCCCTGTATTATTGATGTCTGATTGTGGTTTTTCGAACATTTTGTATTGTTCTCATATGTGTGGATTAGTTGATCCCTTATAATTTACAACAGATCACAAACTTCATATCTCTGTATACCTTATAAACCTTAGAAATAATATTGCATAATTAATTGCTAACTAAGCAAATTAGGAGCTTGCGATATGCCATAAGAAATACATGTCCTGGAATGGAGCTTCTTACCTGGTTGGATCGCCGTTTAATTTGATGAATATTGCAGAGAGCTAGAAGAAACGAAAGAAAGAAAACATGTATAATTCCATGAAAGTGAATTATTTGTCATCAGTTTGGGAAAAAAATACATTTGTTAGAAGAACTGAACTAAGGCCCGAATACTGTTCCCTTAAAAGTAAAACGAAAACACACAAACTAGGGGAATGGTACTTCTCTCGAAATAATCCAGAAGTGTTTAAGGGGGGGGTTACAGTTGAATTTTGGGGGAGTTGGGGTTGAATTGAGAATGCAAGAAAGAAGAATGGAAGAGGGTATACACGTAAACCAGTTAGTCCGCTAATTGGCTCAGGGCGACCTTGTTGTGATGGCGGGCTGTCTGATCTTTGTCTAGTAATTATTCACTTCAAATTTTAATTCTTAACTACCCTTAAATCCAATATTTTCTCATTTTTCCATAACTTTTAACATTTGCTCTTCAAACTTTTATTGATTACAAATATTCTAATAATCACCAAAGACTTCTCAAAATTCATGGTTCCAAGAACTTCAGGATGAGTGATTTATTTTTAAAATCGAATAACGAGGTTTTGGCATCATTTTCAAGGAAAAGTGTTCACCTATAATACAAGCAAGGCGTTTAACTGTAATCCCCCCTTAAGGTATCCTGGGAGCAGAAACCCTTCCGATCCGTTTCTAGTTAAGTTGAGAAGATCGGAGGGCTTTCGTTGATATACGCCGAGTACTCTTGAAAGGCAAAAGTTATATATATATAAGATTGGTAAACAAATACAAAAGATTAACCCTGTTTGTTAAGTATGGAAAGACCGGAAGGTTGAATTTTTTGGATAAGCTTTCAAATTTTCCGATTTTTTTTCTTTTATCTCAAATGGAAAATCCTCGAAACAGTTCAGAAGACATGAAATCTCTGTAGCTTAGGCTGGCCTGAATTAAACAAACACGGATTTTGCTATTTAATGAAGCTCAAAGAAATATCTGTGAATACTCTGTAGACAGCACTTTCTACTTTTTTGTAAAATATTTTTACCTGGTTGAAGAAATTCCAAAGACACGATAGCAGCAAAGAAAACTTTTATCACCATTATCACCAGTTTTACCTATTAGGGCATGTCTGAAAAGATACTCTCATCAAGACGACAAGACCTCTAACTAAACGATGGAGGACAGAAAACAAATACTTAAGCTGTAATAATTACTTTAAGATAGAATTGTCTCTAGCAGATATCCTTCACCATTCAGACAAAAACGCACAGAACATTGCGTTAATTAACGAACTTAACACTTTAAGTAACAACTCGAACATTCTATCAACTTAGCATGAAATATTTATCTTATTTTGATGCTTTCCTATCAAAACACTATATTTTATCCAAAAAATTAAAAGGGTGAAAAGATGAAAAAGGTGTGCATTTTCTACAAATGCCATTTATCATACAATAAATTGCAGTTAAAAAAGCTTTTTTTTTCCGCTTACTATGTTTTTGTACGTAGATTTCAATTTCAAACGCTAATTGTTCTCACCTCATTGACAGAAACTGTCCTTTATAATTTCTGGTCATAGATACTGTGCCAATAGGGGAAGACGACAGATTCTTTGCGTGAACATTATAAATCACTATGAAAATTGGTATTTTACCTTAAGTGGCTTGTTTCGTGATGAAAAGTGTTTTGCTGCAATCCCACAAGAATTTTAAAAAGCATTAACACCAATTTTTAGGCGTCCCTAACACCTTTAAACCTTGAATTTTCATGATAGTGTACAAGCAATTAAGGAACAGTGACACTTCGTTGACGTAATCTAAATTGTCTTAAAAAGTTTAACTCCGGACTTTCATAAAATAACCCAAGACCAACTTGCAATCCGTCATACCGAGTACCGAAAAACATTCCTCAAGAGGTATGCTGAAGATATATCTGAATTATTGGTAACTGCGAGGGCTAGAGTAGAAAGTAAGGCTAATGAAACACAGAAAAATCTTGAGCAGCTGAAGGAACTGTTATCAAAACTACAATCGGCGACAAAATTGTTAGACATTGTACTCAAATAGGCTAACTGCATAGAACAAAAGAGTCCACACCCCTTCCTCCTCCCCTCCATTCAAACTTGGGGTGTTTGTTGCTTTCTATAGGTAGCTCGAACAGCGACACAACATTGAATGGAGGGGATAAGGGAGGGAAAGGTTTATTTTCCCCTTTTGAAGCCAGTAAAACGTCAGAAAGCCCCTTTAGGGGGAAGTGTCTCATCTAAATTGTCGCCGATTGTAGCTTTATTGCGGTGGATGCACGACACTGAGGAAATCATAAAAAGAAAAGGTACAAAAACTAATGAGGCCCAGCTGTAAGGAAAGGTTGAACTGACCGAAATTCTGTTGAATTATAACCCACCGATTAAATTTCGCGCGATATTATTATACCAGGGATATATTCTTACAGAGACTTGAATGCAGTGTTTACGCAGTTATATCTGTCAACTATGGAAAAGAATATTACAAAGTGTTTAATATGAGCCATTTTGTTTGACTTTCAGCCTGGAGAAAAAGGGAAAAAGGCGTAACGGGCTATGCAAGCTAAAAACTGATCGAGTGGCACAATCTGCAACCAACTTAAGAGCAGCAGTTCCAGTGTTTTTACAAAGGCCATCGATTTATAACAAGAAATATCCCAGGAGTGACACAAGAGCCTTTAGGCGAGTGTACGATGCAACGAAAAATCAAGTCACAAGTGGGATATTTACGGTATACCATGAGAAAGCATCGCATGACTAGTGATTTATCCAATTCCACTCTTCATGACGACGTAAACTGAAGACCTCGATATCACTGAGGGTTTTGGGACACTAGCCTATGCCAGCAGGCTCTCGGTCATTGCAGACGGGCAGAAAAAGCTTGCGCGTCAGCAGTGAAAAAAAGAGTGAACGAAAAAACAGTGGGAAGAACCTGTAAGCATCTTTACAAATACTACAGTCCGCACACTACCCCGTCCACTTCCGGAAAAACCGTTTCTCGTTTCAGAATGACAAATGTTAAAATGTCAGAATGTGCCGTGTGAGAAGGTTTCACACGCTCGCTAAGTGTTTTCTTTGTCTCTGGGTGCGCGAAGCCAAAAGATTAATGTGGTTAACGTAAAACTGTCAAAATTGACCAATCATAGGGTATATCTAGAATGAGGTATTGGAAACAATACATACAGGCTCCACTTACCCGTCTCTCTCCAGCTCCCTGCGGTTTTCACGCAACTTTTCTCGGTGCGCTTTTCTTACTATCTTGGATCCTGGAACAGATTGCCCATACTGTCGCAGAATATGTTTCAGTTCGGCTTTCCACTCTCAAAACCTTGCTACCGAAAAGCCACCGAAACTTCGCTTGTGCAAGTACGACGTCTTGATAATGAGCGAGAACAACGAAGGTGAGTTAAACACAGTTTGATAGGTTGGGGATCGTTACCATTACTTGGGGTGTTACTTAACACTCGTTGCAGGTATAAAGCTCAAATTTGGCTCGGACAATATATATCTATAAGACATGACATTTATTAGGTTAAAAGTGAGATTAAGTTCGTTTCCATGGCAACATGACGGATTGAATGTAAGCCGAAATTTTGAATGTATTAGTTCTTGGTATACGAATTTCCGGACATTAGATTTTCTTATGACTTTGCACACGGCTTACAATTAGTAACGACCTAACCAATTTGTTATGAACAGTTTTTGACATTTTTAAGAAAATTGCTTTCATGAGAAACTTGATGTGGTACAAAACTCCTTTGTTTAAAATTTATTTTGAGGCTTTCATCGACTGAAATGATATAAACGGGATTGCCAAATTTCGTCAAATTTAGTAAGTAGATTTTAAGATATTGTTGGTTGTTCAGACATTACCTATGAAAGTCAGCAAAACAAGCTGCACTCAGATTGCTCCCTAAGTACGCATGCTCAACACTTGTGCGCTTACTGAGATCACGTAATATGTCAAAGGTGACTAAAACAGAATAAATTTCTACTGCAAAACTTCGAAGTATTTTTTTTTCAGCTTTTTCTCGAACCTTTTTCTTTAAAAGCTTAATATCGCCTGCATATCTCTTCCTGATAAAGATGTTGACATGCACAGTAAAGACAAAAAGCAGTTCTAGAGAAACTGTGTTCAGCCACCTAGATCAAAACCTGAGCATTTTCGTTTTCCTACGTATGGGTTATTAGTGATCGATCAAAACCTGAGCGTTTTCTTTTTCGTACCTATGGGTTATTAGTCATCATCAGTGCGGAAACTTCCGAGTCAGTCATCATTTATATCGGTTATTTTCTATTAATTTTAACTAAAATTGTTCATTTATATATATCACAGGTTCAATGCACCTTTAATTTACCTCAATCTGTAACAAGCAATAGGCTCTCTTCGGTTTCGTGAGGAATTAACTCTGTTTTTTTTTAATAATCAAGTTGTTATTGTTGTTGTTTTTTTATTATGTAAATAGTTCAGAAATATGTAATGGTCAAATTTTATCAGTCAAGAGTGACATAAATAATGTGAAATACACCTAGAACTTGATCCTGATGATTCAATGTTAGTTTTCGCAGAGGTAAAAAGGGTGTATTACGTATAAACAAATTATGAACTTTAAATTGTTTCTCTTTTTTCTAAACATCTCAGTATATTTTGTGTCTAAAAAAATCTTTCAACATATCAATCGCGTAGTAAAATTCTACAATGATTTCAGGTTAAAATGTTCTAACGTTCTCTAATAAGAAGAGAGGAAATTGAGTAGACAGCAATGTGGGTGTTAAATCACAAATTCACCCGAAATTATACTTAACTGGAACATACAATGCATTCTAAGCAATTTGCCTTTCGGAGAAATTTATCACCTGGCATCTCAGAATTCAGCATATGTGTATCTAATCCCAGGAAGAACATTAAAGAGGACCGAAAACAATCCTCCACAATAAAAGAATTAAACGAATATATTAGGTGTTCAGGCAGAGTTAAACGGAATTCGAATTTCAGTGGTACTAAAGCCTGATTGGTCACGGGAAAGCACACTTTTAATGAAAATTCGCCATTTTAAAGTTAAGTGGCAAAAATAATCTTTTAAATCAGAAAGTTTGTTGATGTTCATAAAACTTTAACAATCCTCTGAGGAAAATGATTTTTAAAGGCTGCCGATCGAAAGTAATTAGCTTTAGAACTCTTCTCAGTGTACCAGGAACAAAATAATTTCTATTTATTTAGTCTAGTATCAAGTAGTTCTTAAACTTGAAATTTTACAACTGCATTTTAAAAAGCCGTCCAGGAACCAGGTGAACCCTCCACAGTTCTTGCGTTAACTACTCTTATTAAACTGTGAAGGGCAGTTGACGCTGAGGCCGCGTACAATATCTGGCCTCAAACAGCAAAAGAAATCCATCAATGTGTTTTCTAATATGCCGAGGAGAGCCATAATCAATGGTTTTTGAGTTATTAACAGGGATTTTAAGCCACAATGACGGCGATGGCGACGAAAACATTGGCCTAAAAAGTGAATTTACGTTCTCCTAAACTTACTATAAGTTGTCAACTGAAAATAATTTTAATTTGGGACGTTCATAAAGCTACAGGTGTACGTAAAGAAAGTAATGCTTAATACTTCGCTGTGATTACTGGAATTGCAAATATCATTATATCCACAAGTCATGTTTATTCAGTCAGATTGTTTCTTTTGATTTCAAGATATTTTCTGAAAATTGGATTGTTGAATATCTCAGTGTGGCATTAAGACTGAGAGTATCTGCGAATACTGCAGCTTGTGCCTCTCATCGTTCCCTGTCGCTGGGACGGTTCCGCAGCTGTATTCCGCCAGGAAGGGGGGGTAGGGGTACTAAATTATATAAACCATACAGATATGTGCCGCCCCAAAGGGTATGGTATTTGGGCCTTATTGGTCTGAAAACGGGTATACACTTGCCCATTTTGGTCTGAAATCGGGTATGGTTTTCGAACTACAGGAGCATAATTATGAAATATTTATCGTTTCAATTCCAAATGAATAAGAACGATGCATTTGAAGAATTTTTTTGTTTGCGCTCTAATCTGAGCAATTATGACATAATTTCTGACTAAAGGCCAGGTCTGAAAACGGGTGCAGATTTTAGAGGTCTGGTCTGAAAACGGGTGAGGAAAATGACATCTTTTGGTCTGAAATAACGTCAGGATTTGGAAGAGCAGGCGGCACAACCCACCAGAGTTCCCAGGAGTACCCCCCTTCCCGTGTATTCGCGATTCGCAAGCATGGACCGGGAGTAATTCAGTGAATACGAAGTAGAAAATTGTTTTAATGGTTTTATTTGGAACTTCTAACTAGACCGACACTTAAGATAATTATCTAAATGTAAAATACTGACATTAAAAAATTAAAAGACGACGTTTCGACGTTCAACTAACGTAATGTCTAGTCAAAAAATACTGTTAGTTCCAAAAATGAGTTTGGCACAAATGGAATCGTCCTGGGTGTGTGTTTGACCTTGGACTGATTCCTTCAACATATATAAAGGCGAGAAATACTAGATCTTCGTCGCCGGCCAGTGAGTATATTATTCATAAAATTTATTCTTGTAGCGAGTGATTTTAAGTCATCGCATTTTTAAGGAAGAGGAGGTAATTGTGATTTTAATCTCTACTTTCTCAGAACATTTTAAAGTGCTTATCATTTTTTTCTCGCTATTTATAGCGCGCCTGAAAGGTAGTTTTAGATATACAGGCATTACAACAACGAAAGAAGGGGGGCGATAGTGGAGGTCCGTACATCGCCAAGATGTCGCTGTGTATGTACACAATGTCTCCTTTAGCAGTCATACTTTCTCTTAAGTAAATGTTCTCAATCTACTTTGTTTGCTTAAATAAGACTGGTCTGCCACCTGAGAAGGATTAAAATGTGATACGGAATGAATTGAAAGGTGCTGTTTGATCCCACAAATCTGCGCAGACAGCAACGTGTGCGTGTTGAGTCACAAATTGACCTGACATTTTGCTTAATTGGAACATAGAGAGGAGAAGGGTGACGTCACGTTACCATGGTTGCAAACTTTCTGGATCACAACAACAGGGAGATAAAGCAACGACGACGGTGACGGCAACGAGAACAGTTAAAAAGCAATAAGTTGAAGTTAGCAAAACAACAACTTTGCACGTGCATCACGCTTTTTTGTTCATTTCTTAACCGCTGTTGCACGACTGCGACATGAAACTTCCTAATTTCACACGCTTGTTTTATGGCGTGGACAAACCCAACACAAAAATTTTAAACACGTTCCTTTCGGATTCGACCCCAGAAAATTTCGCCAACATTTGACAAATTAAATGAAATTGAATAAGATCGAATAAGTTTGAAACAGTGCGAATTCACTTTTTAACTGAATTTTCGGTTTGTTGTCATCCAGATATTTTGCTATCATGGAAACGTGACGTAGCGACTTCTTCTCTCCATTAACAATACATCCTACGCAATTTTTTCCTCGAAGAAAATCAATTTAGTATCACCTGTCATCTCAAAATTCAACATCTATTTCCAAGGAAGTTCATTAATGAGCATAAAGAATAATCCACAATAAAAGAATACATTACGCGTTTTAGCAGAGTTAGGCGAAATATCAGTGATTAAAAGCTGATTGGCCACAGAAAAGCAGTGTTTTAATAGAACAAAAATTCGCTACTTTAATGGCAGTAAAAGAGCAGTATTAGTTAGAAATCTTTTAAATCAGCAAGTTTGTTGATGGTCCCTAAACTGTAACGATCTGCTGAAGGAAAGGATTTCTCTTCTAACGAGCTGCAGATTTTTAGTCATCACCTTTAGTACTCTACTCTACCAGGTACGAAATATTTTATATTTATTTAGTCTTTTAAGTAATTCTTAAAATTACATTTTAATTACAACTGTCAAGTAAAAAAAGGGTGGTACAAGAAGAGGCATAGAAGCTAGAACTATGAGGCACTCGCTGAAGTACAATATAGACTCAAATAACAAAAGAAATCCATCAATTCGTTTTATAACATGCGAAGAGGAACCACGATCAATGGAGTTTGCGTTAAAGTATCCCTCCAAATGATTCACTGTGAAACGTTAACATATCAGCCCGAAGCTTTGATGAATCGTTCCACTTCTTCCTATCCGCACCTAGGCATGTAAGTATAGCTACTTTTAGAAAATCCTCGGAGTATCAGTAGAGTTCCATTCATTTGAAGTATATTGTCATGTGCCTTTTAAGAGCACATGCAAACGACAATCTTAGGCTTTGTATGAAAACTATACCGGATTGGGCAATTCTGTTCACACATCAGAACAGTGATTTCGGCGCGATTTCTTTAACAGAGCGAAGGGCTAGCTGCGCCGCGCCGTCTAAAGTGGAGACTCACATATCATCGGATTGATGTTAACTATACTGGATGATTTTTCGTGTCGGCGTGAAATTAAAAGATATCCGATATATAGTCAATATAACCTTAAGTTGTCAACTGAAGATTACTTTCATTTAGGACGTCCATAAAGCTACAGGTGTACTTAAAGAAAATAGTGTTTAATACTCTGCTGCGATTAGTGGAATTTAAAATATCATTAAATCCATATTTGTCATGTTCATTCAGAGTCGGATTTTATTCTTTTGGTTTTCAAGACACTTTTTTTTTATTTTTGAATTTTTAAAATTTCTCGGTACGCCATTAAAACTGAGATTATCTGCGAATACTGCAGCTAGCGCCTCTCATCACTCCCCGAAGTTTTCGATGGTAGCTTTGCAGGCAAAGACTGTTAGTAATTCATTAAATACGAAAAGTAGAAAATCGTTTTTGTAATCTCCTTTGGAACTCATAAAGAAACAGACAGTTAAAAAAAACATCTAGAAGGGAAATACTGCACTAAAATTTTCTTCATATTAAAAAAGAGAAAAAGACGTTTATGAAGGCGAGAAACACTACATATTCTGAAGACTTCATCGGCAGTGAATATTTTTAAAATTTGTGCTTCGCAATGTAATATAAGTGATTTTAATTCATCGGACTTCTAAGGGAAAGGACCGGTAATTGTGATTTTATTCCTTACTTTCTCAGTATTCATCATTATTTTTTCATTACAGGTTTATCAAATAACAGAAAAAATAAAGTTTACTTTTTGGGGGGAAGGGGGCGGTGGGAGGAATTGGCAGTAGATTGTAAGATGTCTAAAATATCTATTGCATTAACAATAAATATTCTCTAAAGTAAATCTAGCTGGGTTTTTAAAAACATAATCGTCGAATAGACCTCTTTCATCAACAGTTTATTTCGTTCAAAACAAAGGAGCCAAAAAAACACTATAAAAGTAAGAGTGCAACCATTGCTTTTTCCTCTTCTCCATTTTTTTTCTCCTAGCTCTTTCTATTTTTCCTTTCCTTTTCGTTAGTGTGATTTTCGGGAATATCGGACGCAATAAACCGACCTTTTGGGCCTTCTCCACTCGACTGGCTGCAAATTCCGCTAAGTACGTTTTATAAAAAGCCAGCTTAAAATACTTGTTACGATTTCTCAACCTATTTTGTCTGATTTAAATGACAAGAAGATGATAAGTTCTAACAACTTGTGATGAGTTATGATGATGAGTTCTAACAACTTAAGACGAAACAGCTGCCGGGGTGATATGTTTGTGCGCATTGCTGGCCATAGCACAAAGTTTGTTAGCATAAGGCCTTGTTTCAGATTGCGTTAAGGAAATAAAAGGGCTGCGAACAGTTTATGAAAACTGATGAAAAATATTTCACATCAGGGCCGGGTTGTTCAAAGCTGGGTTAAGATAACCCAGGGCTACTGCGAAATTTGAAATCAGATTAAAATGCTTAAAAAGTAAATTCAGTTTAATTCTTTCTGTCAACAAGTTGATTATTGGATGCTCTCAGAAATAACGGAGAAAATTATCGGAGAAAATGCTTTTGAACGAAAGAAGAAAAATCTCCGGTTAAATTTAACCCTGGGTTGAGCGCTAGTCGGCCTTTGAACAACTAGGCCCAGGGCATCATGCGTCGCCTGCTGCTGTAAAGCCACGTATGAACAGTTGTATGCGAAGTAACCTGGCCTCTGAGTGGAAGCGAGGCTAGCAGTGGCTTTGTTTTGATAGAAACCTCAGAGCCATTTATATGCATAAGGTCTCCTTCAACCTCGCTTTCACTTAACGGAAGGACAATTAGCGCATAACTTACAAATGGCCTGATATTTGGGCATTTGTAATTCTTGTGTTCAATCTATTGAAAAACGGCCTATGAAATTTGCAGAAGACGAAATGGCTACCAATGAGATAATCATTTGCGGACTACCAAGCTGGATTGGAATACAGAGGAACGACACGGCTACTTTCATAAACAACATTCTTCTCGCCGCTGTCAATGGGCCGTCTGCCATATTTGCTTTCCTTGGTAACCTAGCCGTCATTATCACAATTATCAAGACCCCTTCTTTACAGAAACCATGTAATATCCTGCTGTGTAGCCTGGCCTTTGCAGATTGCCTTACCGGGGTTACTTGTCAGCCCATGTTTGTTGTTTGGCGACTTTTTCTTCAAAGAGTCCAGCAGTCATGCCTACATCAAGTTCTGGTGTTAGATGTGTATTATTTTTTCTACTTTTATACTGTTGGCCTGTCTTTCGTCAACATTGTTTTTATCAGTTTTGATCGCCATTTTGCCTTGTCGAGACCTTTGGTATATATTGCTGAGGTGTCTAAATCAGGTGAGATGATAAAACACCGTTAAGCTTAAATGACTCATGATGATTCTATACAACTCCTTCTAAATTTGTCTTGTATCATAGCGTCATGATCAAAGTCCAGCCCAGTCCCTGAGGGTTCCCAGCTCGGTTAAAGCTGCGACGTCACCGAACGAGGTCACCCTTTCCCAGACGCCTGATCCAGGAAGGATTTGTAGGGACTCATCAGAGCCTCTTGTTAATACTGCCGTTTAACAAGCAGGCTTTTTTCAAGTATCAAGGCAATTTCACAAATAACGTTTATAGGCTGAAATCGCTTCTTTCTTTTAAGGACGACGTGAAGCCTTTCAAATTGCATCATAAAATGTCACCAGCGTGGAGTCTGATTGATTTTTAAAAAACACTTAATGCAAGGAAAAAAGACAGCAGGAAATCCTCGCTAGCAAAACGTCTTTTCCAATTTTACGAGCTCAGTGATAGTAAATAATTTTTAGTCCTACTCAGGTTCTAAAGAAGACTAGCTCTGCTAGTCTAAATGTTGGCCACAAACGTTCTTGACCTAAAAATTTTTGCTTTGCCTAAGTTTTGCTTAATTCTTGCTTTTTCTTCTACGTGACATTTTGTTCACGCATCAGTTCTGTAATTTTGAAGAACTGTGATCCCAAAAGAAACCAGGAAATTTATCGTAAAGTCGAGTGATTCTTAGCCTGCGCCAAAGACGAAACTAAACTTCAGCTTAATCCGTCTCAGTGCAAAACAGCGCCGAAATCCTTTTTCTGGGCGCCCACCTGTGTACCAGGATTTGAGTACGCGCCATGATTGGCCTGTTAAAAAAGCCATTGTCGATTTGCAAGTCAGGTTAAAGGAGAATTCGAAACGTATATTCTGGTCATTCTTTGAGTCTGGTAGAGGCCCAGAACAAAGATATCAGCGCCTGTTCGCAAACGTTATGCACCTATCAATGTAAAACCGGCGGGGGGGAGGCAGGGCATGGGGTGGGGATTTGACATTTTTCAAACATTTGCAGTCAAATTCTCTGCCCACGGGCAAATCATTCCAGTCAAATGCAACCAAATTTCCCAACCCCAGGCTGCACATTGCGCTGTCAAATACCCCAAGGCTGGACCCAAGAAAGGCACAATAAAAATATCCCCAAATGAAACTCTGCAATCTTTATTTATATTACGTTGCTGCATCACTAAAGATACATGTTCCTGTTACAGCTGCAATTATACGTTTTAACCATAATCCGTGTTACACTGCGTAGAATACAGAAACCTTTAGGAGAAAGTCCACATTTTGTAAGTTTAAATATACCGTTCTTAGTAAAGGGTACAAAGAAAGTCAGTTTTATAAGCTTATCAATTGTACTTGCAAAAATCGACTTGGTTGCTCTTTACTTCCGTTTACTTTGATACCACAGTATCTTAAGAGGTTCAATAAGATCAAAAACAGGCTAAAACAAAGGAAATTTGAAGAAAAATCCACCCAGCTTCCGCTTGTTCTCGTTAGCCTCCATGATTTCCAGAAGCTTAGAAGTGGGAAACATATGTTCGGTCTCAGTCTTTTTCGTCCGAGTCAGCAGTCAAATATCTCCTCGTCGGGCGAAGAAAGATTCAAATATCCCCTCCCCTGGGAGAAAAAGATCAGTCAAACGCCCTACCCCAGGGCCAACAAAGACAATCAAATCCCCACCCATGCCCTGCCTCCCCCACTCCCCCCCCCCCTTTGCCGGCATATCATTGATAGGTGCATTACAAATCGGGGTTAGATACGTCTGCTACGCAGGCTAGTGGTTCTCGCAAATTCCATCCAAAGGTGACTGTTTCTAGTTTATCTGCTAATAATCCCTTCAGCAAGTCTAGCCAAACTAACTTATTGCTCTTTTGCAGGAGTGATAAAACTTGCGGTCTTCTCGAGCATTTTATGGCTGCTGTTGACAATCTTATATAGGTCTGTTCAGTCCTCTCCGCTAACCTTCATTCTTGTCCGTATTTGTGGTGCGTTGTTTATGGTACTTCCTCCTGTCAATTATATGAGAGTACTGTTCTTTATCCGTCGTCATAACGCCCAGATAAGTGTTGCTCTTCCGTCTCAGATGACAACAGTTTTTCAGCGCGAGAAGAAAGTAGCGCTTGACATGTCCATTGTCACCGTCTTGCTGTTCGCTTCTATCTCACCAGCTATGTCCGTGGCGTTACTCCGAAACCAATATCCAGGCGTTTACTCTATTCTGTTTCCTTGGAGTTTAACAATGGCGTCTATTCTCTCCTCTGTTAATCCGATAACTTATTTTGGAAGGAACAAAAACATGAGAAGTGCCTTTAAGTCCATAATGAACCTCTAATGGCACGAGTTTCGCCGAGGAGAACCTGGGAGGGTGCATCACGGCTCCACAGGGCTCTGTAATTGCCTTAGTTTAGTGAGATCAAAGAAATATTTTTTCGTAAAATGAGGTGACATATGTCTCATAGATTATCTTGCATTCATTAAAAATTCGTCTTGTTTTTCTTTAATTACAAAACAACGTTTTTTAGACCCAGGTCAAATTTGGTTCACTTAATAGTTACAGTCTAGGTGAAAACAGAAACCAGAAGCAGAGAAAATTCACTTTATAAAGGACTACGGAGGGCACAAGGCACGAAGAGGATAGGTGAGGAGAGGTGAACGGTTGCACTCAATATTTTCCTCTCCTATTTCTTGTAACCAGGCTAGGTACCATAAAAGGCATGATGTATTTAACACAGTGTTAAATAATAGTCTTAATGGCCAGCCGTATTGGATCGGTGCAGGTCAACCGAGAACCGTACTAGCGTAGAAAATTTCTCGAAAAAATCCTGGAAATTCTCCAGAATTACATTAAAAAAAGGAACAGGCTAAAATCTCTGAGAAATGCCCGGGAATTCCTGAGAATGAAATGATTTTCTTCTCGACCCATGAAATTCTTGGCAATTCCAGCGAGCAAATTATTGTCCTACTTGCATTTGATAGTCGCAAACCTGACATTCGATAGTTACTGTAACAGCCTGTTCTCGATTTGCAGCTCGGTTACTGTTAGAGTCGCTGACGTTTCTTCCCACGTAAGGGAATCCGGGAATCCATACTGAGGTATTTTGTTTCAGGATGAAAAGAAACTGCGTACGTTTCCAGATAGTCTGCAGAAATAACATCTACTTTGATAACGCGATATAAATCAACGTAACCTGACTCTTTTAAGACCCTCGCGGACTCGTACATCGGTACTGTGACGGCCGCTAAAATTTTATTCGCAATAGTCGCTTTAATTTTACCACGAGATCGCAGCGCGCAAAGTAATTTCAATCGCGATAGCCAGGCGTGTTACGACTCTAAGGTTTGTAAAATGAATATACTGCTTTCTGGATTGCTGGTACAATGAGTACGCCTGAGGCTCGCATATTGCTTACCTTCGACGAACTCATTTTGTAAACACAGAAAGGTGCAACAGTTCAACAAACAACCATGTTCATGACTGTAATTACATACGGAAAACGACTTTATAAAACTCCTAGTGGAATACGTCCCCAAAAGGGGTACAGACGGTGTAAGTTTCCGATACACTAACCCCTCCCTTAAGGCCACTGCCAAAAGTGTTAGAAGAATCTGATGCTAACGTGAACAGAAAGATCAGAACCAAAAAACAGTTAACAACGACTAGTCTGCCTGGTATTCTTGTAAACGGTCAGCAATAGTCTTGCAAAACTAAAAAAACTTACAATCCAAATATGTCACAAAACCGTTAGAACATTATTTTGAACAATGTACAAGCTAATATTGTTAAATGTCCGAGTTAATGAAAGAGTTACTGGCAATCACTCTAACGATTCGGATGTCTTCTCTCTCTTCCATGGCGACTTCTTGCAGGCTCTAAAGGCTGTTCACCTTAAGGTTTCCATTCACCTCTATCTGTCTCGTTCGGTTGAGTAACTTGTAAGGCACCCTTTTTATCTGCATCACTCATACCAACCTCAGCATGAACATCCGTATCAGATTTGCCTTCTTCTGTTACAGCCTCTAGCATAGGATCTAGATGCATCCGAGCTACACTTACACTAAGCGTGTTCTCCTCTCGCCTTAGCCAAAAGCGGGCCAATTGTAACCACCAGCTCCAGATACAACAGGCGTACTAATCTCCTCTCCATCAGAAATCCAGCCCCTCAAAGCAGGACCGAGGTACGGCTTCAGAAGATCTGCCTGAATCACCGTTAGTTTCGCCCTTCGACGTCTCTGTTTGCGGTACGTTAAGTCTGACAACAAGGACACTACTAATATAACTTGGGATTCATACATTTCTTTCGTTGAATATTGTGCAGCCAAACACTTTCATCACCACCGTAACGTTGTAATGTTCTACATGGCCGTCCGACAGTGGTTGTAGCGGAGTGTTTGTCGTTTCCTCAACGTCCACGAGCTTACACACTTCTGAAATAACTTTGGACTCTAAGTTCCTTGGTCGCTGTGTATCTCCCGTGGAACTCCGAAAACGACAGATAAATTCACCGACTTATATAACTTCTCAGCTACCATAAAAGCTTATTGGTTCGAAAACAACAAATTTATTCCCGTGAGGGGTCAGAGGAAGTGGCCTTAATATGTCCATGGCGAGGCGCTCCAGTGGTGCATATTCCACATACTTCTTTTATAGGGAACGTCTCTCCTCACCCGTGCTCTTTTTTCCTCTACACTCATGACAAGCTCTGAACCACTTCTTAACGTTTGAAGTTAGTTCTGGCCAGTAACATCGAGCCCTAAGCGCTTTAAGTGTTTTTTTAACACCCTGGCGATTCGCTGTTGTATGGTTAGCCCTTAGTGCTGCCTCTCGCAAGCTTTTTAGTGCTTAGTTCTGGAACCACTTCGACACTATTTTCGACACAATACTTGATCTCGGAACTCCAGCTGGTTCCATTGGGCCCAAAGAGCCTTCACGTTCACGGTACGTTCATAAGGAGAAACATCTTCCAACTTTGGCCTTGAAGCGCTTGCTTCCTTGAATTGGACCACCTTAAAGATAATATCGTCTCTCTAATATGGTCCTCATAGGATAGCGTTACATTTAGAGTCAGGCTGATTCGGTGGACAAACCTCAGTGTTACCTGACAAGAACTCTCTTTAACCTGAGGAATTTTCGTTCGCCCTGTCACAAACCCTTCAGTGTCAGTTTGAACAGCAACACTAACCATTTGCTCAATCTTCTTCCTCTCCTTATATTATTTAGAACCACTACCACAAGGTCTTCGTGGCATGGCGTCTACATTCTGATGCCGCGGACTTTCTCGATTAACAATCTTTTAGCCAAACGAATCCAGGAACTATGCACCTGGCTAGCTGCCCCTCTGGTTCTCTCACCGTCAGAACGGTGTGGAGAGATGCATGGTCAGTTCCTATGCGAAATTTCGCTCCCTGTAAGTAATGGTGAAAATACTTCACGACGTCCATTGCCGCAAGCAATTCTTTTCATCTTAAAACAGTAGTTAATTTCTAAGCTTAAGTCAACGTTCGGTTGGCATACGCAACAGGACTCCACACCCATCCTTCGCCTAACTTAGGACAATTCCATACCATGATTGGTGTCGTCTGTGTCGAGCACAAACTCTGCTGTAAAATCTGGGCAGTCGACATTAAGGTCTTCAGCGTGTCAAATGATAACTGGCACTCAGACGTTGAAGCAAAGTCAACATGCGCTTCAGTCAGTTTGTGAAGCGGTCAGGCCACTTTGAGCATAATTAGGAATAAAGCGTTGATAGTAGCTGGCAAGTCCTAAGAAGCTCTTGGGCGCTTTCCATTCAACTAAACCTTCCGGTAGCGAATGGAACGGCATTTTCAGAAATTTCCAAAAAGAAGACAACCTCGTGTGGTATAGCCAAATTTTCGCAAATGTCGTTCCGAAAGTTTTCTTTCTTTTCAACTTTGCTCTCGTATTTTTCAGAACTTTCGGTCAGAAATTCAACTGTTATTGGACTTTCTGGAAATTTTCCAGAGAAATATTTGTTCCATTCGCCACCATTTCCAAATTTTCGGAAGTTTCTGTAGAATGGAAAGTGCCCCTTTACTTCAGTCACATTCTCTGGCACTAGCCAATCGCACTACCACTATCGTCTCCACCGTTGTATATTTTTCGAAATGCATTTTTAGAGGAACAAGACCAGCCCCTCTAGCAGACACTAGCGTTCTGCCGATGGACAAGTATTTCTCTTGAAAATGAGTGCCGCAAGGTTCCAGGATTTACAGCCCTTGATTAGCAGCTTTGGAAGATGATCTGCGATGGATGAGGTGGACGAGTACGACTGCCTCACATTGCGGCTCTATTACAAGACGGCCCGTAATACATCTGAGGCCAAGTTGCTGACCACTCTCTCTACAACGTTCAGTCTCCTCTCCATTGATAACAAGTGGTTGTTAAACAAGGTCAGTCTTTGCATCTTCCGAAATGAAATCCATGCCACACAGCCGGGCAGTGCCAGCCATGTGCTGTGTGGAGCTGGCGCTTAAATGAATGCTTTGCCCTCGCCTCGTCAGTAAAGGGCCTTTGATACACTGCTTTGTCCGTTCATAGGACTGACGGGTGACGGCTATGCCATGCTGATGAACCCCAACGAGGGCAAAACAGCTGTCCATGGCTGCCACTGCCTGGGTGATATGGCTTTGCACCTGTGTGAGGTACTGGCGAGGCTATGTGTTGATGTATGCGTGCCCTTGGCTTTCAATTTGTCTTAACTCGTCCTAGCCCGGGGGTTGGACACTCCCTTGAAAAGCGAACCTTTTTGAGGTTTCAGGTATATTAATTGGTAGGGAATTTACTAGTATATGAAAGGGTAGGAAACTCTATCGGATTTGAAAGGGCCTTTGATTAAAAATCTTTCTAAAAGACGCGCCCTCTGTTTTATGTTGCACGAAAATGACAGAAGACTTCCTGGCTTAGCGATTTACTGTTATTAAGTAGGAAAGTTAAAGGAATACCATATTTGAATAGAAGGTACTAAAATGTATGCGGGATTGGTACCTTTTCTCTAAAAAATGGCATATAAAAGGGAATAAGATTGAACCTATTTGTAATCGTAATTGTAATTGTAATTTGTTTACCCACAGAGCACCTACGAGTTCTTAAGAACTCGCTGAAACGTGTCCGTGCGCTCCAGATGGAATTGGAATTGGGAAGTGTTGGTTTTTAAGGAAAGGGGAATACTGGAGTGCCTGGAGAAAAACCTCTCCGAGAAAGGGAGTGAACCAACAACAAACTTAAGCCACATATGGCGTCGAAGCCAGAATTCGAACCCGGGCGATATTGGTGGGAGACGAGTGCTCTCACCACTGCGCCACCCTTGCTCCCCGTCGGGAAGGAGTCTTCCCGTATGAAACTTTGTTCTGTAATCCCCGGGCGTCCTAGCAGTCCCTTGTCGCACAAATGAACTTAATGTTAGCCTAGTATTGTTGTATTTTAGATGTCAGCAACATTCTTCAAAAAGTAAAAATAGGCAAGAATAACTTTGGTGGTTTGCTTTTGTTTTATTTTTCCATTTTCTCTCATGCAGCTATTACTCAAACAGTGACCATCGGTTCCTGCCTTAAGTCAAAGTTATTTACTGTCGAAAACTTAAAAGCATGCTAGTAACTTAGAGTATTAAGGACTAAATAATGTTGTCATATTTGCGCAGTAATAAACTGGGGAAGCCATCGAACAGCCTTAATTAATCTATTCCTTCTCCTGCTGCTGTCTCGGTGAAGGAGGTAAATTGTCAAGTGAAGCATACATTTATAGCCATATGCAAATAATATACTAGAATCGGAATGCGTGCTAAAACAAGTGCATTGAAAAGGTTATTTTCTGTTTCAATGAAAAAACAGAAACTGAAAAAAATAAATGATCTTTGGCATAGAAAACATTAATAGTTTATCTTCAGTTAATGAGGCAGTACAGTAAAGCAATTCATCACATTACCGAGTAAGAAAGTGATTCTGAAACGCGGATCGTCTTTGCAGTGGTATGAAATTCCTTGTCTCCTTCAACTTTTTTTTCTTTTTTTTCTGGGCAAACTATTTTCAAATGCAATAAAATTCTTAGCAGCACTTACAAGCCGCAAGTTGGGATAAATGAGCCCGGCCGAAATCAAGCCTACAATTCAGTGGGTAAAATGTATATACAGAGCTGTTAAGCTTAGATTCAAGTCTTTTGATTAGTCGCAACACTTCCATAAGCCAACAGTACGCCAATAATTACTTCCAGCGTCCATCACATGTATACCAGAGCCTGAGACTATAAAACGAAATCAGATAACACAACATTACTGTTATATCTAATTCTTAAGCTTTTGCAGGGCGAGAGCAGATCCTCTACTCTAGATGGATCATAAATCAAGGGAAGTATTTGACCCCATGGGGTCAAACATCTGAGGTGTTACTAGATCAAGAGGATATTGCTGTTTTCGGTCAATTCTGTACTAAAGTCATTACCTAGTTCTTTTACCCATACACAAAATGCTCCCGCAGAGTTGTGACGGCGATATAAAAAAATTTCATCAGCGAGCATAAACCACAATTATTTTTTGGGTGATTATTTCAGTTGGTCCAACGTTTCAAGTTTCAATCCATGTCCATCCTTGCAATCCGTAGCAACAGACGAGAGGAAACAGTTTCAATACGCAGACATCGTCATAAATAAACCAAAACCAGACCATTATTTTTGGAATTCAATTGATGCGAAGACAAGTTTTAGCTTTTTACAAAGAGAGCAAATAGCGTAACATGAGTGTGTCCGCTAAGGGATGTTAAGAGTCTGCGTTTTTTGCTACACTGTTCGGCTGCTGTCAGTACTCAGACTATGCCTAATGATAGAGCAGGAGGCAGGAATTTGGTTGAGGGTCTTGAGGGTATATATGACTACTAGCTAACAGAAAGTTGAGCTATCTGTAGAATTCCGAAAAATTCCTGCCATATTTTCTCTTGATTCGTCCTTTTTTTAAGACAAGAAACAATAATTCAATCAATCAAGCTTTTTTTCCATAGTGTCTCATTCATTACTGACAGTAATTCTCTTCCAAACTCGTCCATAAGAGCCGTGCAAAAATTTAAAATTATACAATCTATATCTAACACTAACTATTACGCCTAGTAATGATAGTATAAAGATTTAGCCAGGGCTAAAAGCGAAGCTCTGGTTAATAATACTTGTAAACAAAAAAAATTAAATCGTGTAATGCTAAACGGGGACGACAATGAAAATGGCTAATGACTAATAGATCTAATTAGCAAAAAAAATAAATTGCACGTGCAGCACACTTTTTTCTAATTAGCAAACAAACAAATTTGCACGTGCAGCACGCTTTTTGTCTTTCTTTGCCGTTGTTTTCCACAACTATGACGCTGTTTTGTAGGGCTAAAACGTCAAACTTCCTAGTTAAACATTACTTTTATGGAGGAATTGTCGTATATGCGTACTCAATATTTTGTCTCCTGTGTTCATGTTAGCTCTTAATTTTCACTGCCGCTCATTTTCACCTTGCTGGCCGTTAGCATTTCTCATTGTCTCACAGCCGCTTTGAATTTTCATGTTTTTCGTTCAACAAAATTATTCTCTTTTGTTTTAAATCACTCGCCCTAACTCTTTCTCTGTTATCCACGTGAGTGTAAACATCAAAAATAACGTCGAAAAAGACACCACTTTGTTGTTGTTTTTTCTTTCTAAAAGTCCGGGCGGCCATGCGATTTCTTTCCAAATAAGACCTTGAGTTGCATTTGGGTTGCCATACCTGTTGATTGAATTATTTTACATTGGTATGCCTGCGGTGCGGACGGACGGTCGGGCGGTCGGTGTACGGTCATGTGATTACCAAATTTTCTCGGATGGGTAGTTTACCACATTTTTTTACCCATGGCGCTCCGAAGCGCGCGCTTCGCGCGCAAGAGCTCCACTATTAAAGGCTTAGGATTAGTTTGGGTCCTTGGATAAAAAAGCTGCTTGATGAGCTTCCTGTCCGGTTGTAGTACAAATAAACTTGTGAGTTGCGAATTTACAATAGTTATGCAATGCTTTCGAGTGGTAAAGTTTTGAATGATTCAAGGTTAAATTTAGGCACTAAAAGGATATTTTCCTTCACGATTATTTTTTATTGAAGTGCGATGTACAGTCATTTCAAATGTAAAGTGTTAGAACTGTTTAATATGAATGTGAAAAATATTATTGCTTGAATTCGTACCAATTACCAATTTGTCAATTATTAAAGATTTCTCGTAGAAAAATGGTCACATATCACGTGACTTATTAACACAGTATTTAAACTTTAAAATTTTAAGGACGATGAGCTCTTTATTTGTGCCAAATTTTGATTCAGCCCCATTTTCTATGCCGAAGTTATAGCCAGTAAATCATTTTTCACAGGTAAACTCATTAGACCCAGGCTTAAACTACTTGAGTCGGGTATGTGTTGCCATTCTGTAGCTACTAATACTGAAAATACTATATAAGGCATTCCTTACCTCCCCAAGTGAAGCCAGTAGAATTAGCAACCGCTGTAAAGTTAGCCGTGGGCACATTGGACACCAGATTTTCCGGAAGTGGCGTAGCGCGAACAAGACCCGTCAACTTTTGTATTTCCTTTATGTAGCCATCAGTAATCTGTTGCCAAGTATCACCAGAATCACGGCTGCGATACATGTTCATTCTTCGATCTAGGCCATAAAGCTCTTTCCAAGCGGGATTAGACGCTATTATGCTGATTATTGTTGGTTTTATGGCTTAAAAAATAGAACATGAAAGATTCCGTATTACCGAAAATCAGTTTATCTCATACCACCTTGAATTGATATAATCAAAGGCTGTCCGAGGGTGGTTTGTGTTTGATAGGGTGAGTTTTTCGTTTGTTTCACGATAGTCACTATAATTGAGTTCAAGTTTATTGCAGCATTTCAACATGAAAAACGAAAATTTGCATAGTTTACTGCTCTATTTTAGGGCTAATCTTGGAAGGTAAAGCAAACGATGAAAGAGTGCCTTTATCACCTACTATTCTTGTAAGCTTTAGCAAAAACTAAGATTAGTTAACAGAAAACTTACAAGTCCATTCCACTCCATCCATGGTTGAAAAACAGCTGCTTACAGTTCTATAAAATAAAGAAAACAATTACAAATTGTGCGGACGATTTTTATCAGCGTCCTAATAAAACTAAGAGGAAGAAGTTATACTTAGTAGAAAGAGACCTTAAACGCCGTCAATCTATGGTATCTTGACCAGCAATTATCTTTGTACAAACTACTGAATTAATTGTGTAAGCTATGTGGCACTCTTATCAAGTGAAATTAACTGTGTAAGACGGAATCCACCAGGAAATTCAGTAATATTTTTTAATTCTCGGTGGACAAAAACCTTGTACTAGAATAATTTAAAAAATATTACATTCTTTTTTACATTTTTCAAGGCCTAAGGATGTAATTAGTCATCTGTAGTAACACCAAAGAAAATTCTCATGGGAGACCGAGAAAGTGAATGTCAAATTTCACAAGAATTGTGAAAGCACAGGTAAAATTCTGAAAATTTCATGTGTAAGATGTAATCGCGTGGAATTTGACATTCATTTTCTCGGGCTCTCATGAGAAATTTTCTTTGGTGTTATTACAGATGACTAATTACATATTTAGCCCTTGAAAAAATGAAAAAAGAAGTCAATATGCCTTAAACTATTCTTGTACAAGGTTTCTGACCACTGAAAATTAAAATTACTCAATTTCTTGGTGGATTCCGTTTTAATTTTTCTTATTTGCAAGTCTTATTCAAATGTACACGTTTTTACAAAGGTGAGGGTTGAACTCAGGACCCCTTGTCGCATTACTCCTATCGACACACTAACTAACTGAGCTAAGAATGACTAACATTTTCTAAGATCTTCACAATTTGTCTACTTAATCACATACGAGTACAGTTTATAATTGTGAGTTTACGCAACAGGACGGCAGGAAGAAGAGGACAGCAAATCGCTTGTGCGTGAAGAACGTGACAAGGCTATTACGTGTGTGTTTTGTCGTGATCTTCACTAACATCAATGTTTTCTGGTCTTGTACAAAAAGACCTGAAAGAAAGTGAAGTTTGGCGAAAAGTTATTTTAAGCAAAATTATTGTCACTCTTATCACACAAGGTTTGCCGTCTTCCTTCCTCTCCCGTCCTGTTGCGTAAGTTCACCAATGGCGATAGGGAGACCGCGACTGAAGAGGAAGTCCCGGATTTGTTTAACAAGAGTATGATCACCGACTGAACTGGACGACACGAAGTTCTGTTACAAAGTAATATTCAAATACTAATTTGTGATAATTTTCTACTTTTCCTTAATTAAAGCCAGAAGGGTCAATATGCTTCTGTTAAAACTCAAGATCTCCTGAGAGTTCAAGTGCCTCGTACTGTACTATTAGAAGCTTCTTTTAACAGAGCTACTGATAACTAATCGGGTTAGTATTAATAGAAATTTTTTGTTATAGTAAAGTCGAACAATTGATAAGGACGAAAAATCAGTAAATAAAAAAAATCTGTACCTAAAGACTGAGCACTTAGTAAGTTTTGACGGCTACCTTTATAGCTCAACTAGACATACTGAAAGTCAGATCTAAACCTACTCACCCGTCAGCCGTATACATGCAAGGGTAAAACCGGCCAGTAACTGGATCTAGGAGGAAAGATCGTCGGGCATATTCAGGAGCATCTACAAGGAAAAATGGCGGGATTCAACTTTTGTATTAGTCGTGTCAGTTTAAGTGACTCTCAATCGGGATTATCGGGATAGCACTTGGCCCCCTGAGTCAATTATGGAGGAACGTAATGTAGTTTTCAGGATGAAGAACTCCCATAGTGCGCCAGCACAAATATACCAATACCTCTTCAGCAGCATAAAAATCTAGTAAACCTACTAAGCTCAGTTAATGGCCATCCCCGTAAAGACATTCATATCCTCAAGTTTCGTGCGCTAGTCCTTTGTCAGAGTGGTTATGTGTGGTCTGTATATGTATCGAATGTCGGAGCTATACTGTTGTTAGAAGACAAGAATAAATTAAATGAAGATATGATCGTCGCAGTGGTAGTTCTTCGAATGCGAGAGGGGATTAAGAATGGTATTTTAGATTGAAAAATTAAATCTGGTTCTAAGTTTTGCCTTAAAAGGCATCCTTGCTGGCTGAAAGGTTTAAATAATGGAGCATCAAACGCTGTATTGTATAATTTCATACTGCCTGGGGGACTGGCACTACCGGATTTTACAGGACGTTGTAAATGTCCAGTTTCAAAATGGCGGAACTCGAAAGAAAGCAGGTTTCTTTTGGACAAATATCAAACAATTATTGGATTAGATTTTTGTGATATCCGGATATCCAAGCTTAAGGTCGAAGTAAGTTTTATCAGCCGAGCCGAAGGCCGAGGCTGATAACACTTACCGAGACCTTGATTATTCAGGATATCACAAAAACTGAATCTAATAATTGTTTTATAATACATTATCTTGAAGACAATAACGACAAACACACCGTCGGAAGGAACCTGAATTATGATATTGTTATTGGAAATCATGAATTGGTCGCACAGCCTTAGCTACAGATTAGACAGTTATCTGTTAGCAGATAACTGACTAATCTGTAGCCTAAGGTTGCGCTGATTTTCAGAATTAGCTTTAGGCTCTTAGCCAATGAGAAGGCAGATAGTAAGTACAATGTACAATCATAATCAATATTCCCTCGGAGAATCTACCTAAACTTAGCAAAGAAAGGCTAAAGTATTTCTACAATGCCCGAAGCTAAACGTATCCGGCGAGAAAAAGAAGCTTGTCCAATCTGACTAGAGCCATTTTGCAAGTGCAAGCAGAAATTTCTGCAATTTGATTGGCTTGGAGCAGTGGTATTTCAGCTTAATTTGAAATACCTCAAACCTTTTACGGGTAGTGGTATAAACAAATAATCGCATAATTTGCACGTAATATCTGGCATAAATACCACTCGTGATATTTCAGAATTGTCTCAAATTTCACTCGCCTAACGGCTAGTGCAATTACGTAGAACAATTTTTAAATATCACTACAAATCATGCTATTACGCATACAAATACCCATTGCATTAAGGGGTAGAGTAAAAAAATATGGAATTCTTTGGGGGTAGAGATTTAATTTTCGCTAAATTCTTCAGGGGTACACCCATATTCTTCAGGGGTAAACCCATATTTTGTGGAAGTCTTCAAGGGTAAAAACAATTTTTTTGCTCTCTAGGGGCAAGAAGAAAAGGTAGGTCCTTAATCGGAGGGGTACGGATATTAAATGCAATATCTAAATCCTACCAAGACTTCCAAGTAGCGATAGTCTCTTGTTCTTCAGTGTTGACTTTTCTGGAGTAATCTGACTCTAAATATTGTTTAAATCAATAAATCCGGTAGTGCCAGGTCCCCGCGCAGAATGAAATCAAGAGCTTTTACCTACCAGTATAAGGAGGAAGTTCTTCAGCAGAACAACCGTATAGTTCGGCTCTCATACTTCCTGTGATGGTGTTTGCAATAATTCGCACGTAGCGAGCTACAAATGGCTCGGCAAGTTTAGCAAACACAGGAAATTTTGCTTCAAGCTTGTCTTTCGGCCCTTTTATATCCTATCAAAACAATCAAACATAACGATAGACTGTTATAGACTTTCATTAAAAGATTTCCCTCAAGTCATCTTCGATTCAGATACTCTCAGTTGCAAAAGGCGTCACCCACCCGGAGACGTTTCAGTTCCTTAATTTAGTGTAAGAGAAATTATTTTAAACAACAAATATCTTGGGTTATCCTCAAAAACTCTAAGACAAAAAACTATAAGATTTTGTGAAACAACTAAGATAGTACCTGCGCTATGAATTGGCCGAGAGGCGTGTTTGCACGCACGAGAGTAAATTAAATACATGTAAACATAAGCCCCTTGCAAACGGACGCAACTTTGTTGGCCAACGACTCCCAACATTGTTGGATGTTACATGTTCCGTCCGTTTGCACACCCTGTTGCATGTTGTTGGATGCTGTTGCGTGTTGTTGCGCAAAGTTTGAAACCGGTCAAACTTTTCAGCCAACAACTCCCAACATTTCTTTTGTTCCGTGATCGCCGAAGCGTAGCGCAACAATGTTGGATCCGTTTGCAGAACTCTTCCAACATTTTTAGGGCCACGCACGCTCATTACGCATGGTTTACAAAGACTTATGGGTTGTATCCTTCCCGCGATGCACTGCAGGTCCCAACATTGTTGGGAGTTGTTGCATCCGTTTGCACACTACTGCCAACACGCACTCAACAACTCCCAACAGTGTTGGCGTAACAATGTTGGGAGTTGTTGCGTCCGTTTGCACGCAGCCATAGTTGTGACGTCGAGATATTTTGCTGTGCGCGTGCTAGTCAAGCAAGCACGAATGTGAAAAAGGTTGTGAGATTAAATCTCAACAATTTTGCTTTATTTACCCATTTCCTCGTCGACTGAATCTTGGAAATTGCCATTTGAGTAGTGCTTCATGTAAACCTTAATTGAGCATTTTCTTTTGTTCTTTGCACGACTTGCACCTGTAATGCATGAGCGTCTATGGGTACAAGCTTTCCGCGGGACGAATTCTCCGATCATTTGGGTGGATAAGAGTTAGTTAATGATTGGTTGATGGTTTTTTCAAGGTAGCCTGCGAAAACATCCATTTCTTCTCGCTCTTCACGCTGGGGACGTTTCGCGCGGAGGAACGTTTGCGACTCAGCGACAGAAATTCCATACTGATGATATAAAATCTGTCCGGAATGCGGTCAGAAGCGCTGATTGGTCGACGGAGCAGTTATATTGTTTTAGCTATTGTTTACGAATGACAAACAAAAAACAAAAGGCCACAAAGGTCAAACGTAAACGCGAAGAATCTTTAACAAAACAGTCAATATTTGTGGAATACGGTCTTCTCCAAAAGAAACATGTGAGTTTTGTTGAAGCGCGTTGGCAGATGAACACAACACTTTACCAAAATCCACCAGAAGACACGTAACATTGGAGAAATTTATACTTGCAACCCCATGACTACCGAATTTATTATGTAAACACTGATTTGCGTCATCAGTATGGAATTTCTGTCGCTGAGTCGCAGACGTTCGTCCTCCCGAAACGTCCCCAGCGGCGAAGAGCAAGGAGAAACGGATGTTTTCGCACGCTATATTCAAGGCAACTATTAAATAATCAATCATAAGAAACTCTTGTCCAATTCCAACCAAATAAGCCTGGAAATCGCTGCGCCAAACGCCTATACTCATTCTCCTTATGGTTTATGGAGTGAGGAGTTTGCATGCAAACGCAGTTGTGCTATAAAGTTTGCTCAAGTTAAGCAATAGTAAACGTTTTCCGTGTTTGCATAGCCTGAGTATCAGGCGTTCACGGGGGGAAAGAGGGGAGAGTGTAGTGAAAAAGGGAGAGAGCGAATTGAGAGAAACGTCCTTCCTTTCTCTCCTCCCCCTTCCCACTCTCGCAGCTAAAATCTCCTCTCCCCCAGCCCCTTAGGAAGGCCTATACCAAGGCTAGTTTGCAGAGCCTGATATAAACACGAGAGGGATTGGGAGGATTCGAGACAACATAACTGTCAAGCTCTCTCATCCATCGAGTGTATATTAGGCTATGCAAACGCAGGAAAAAAGGTTTACTTTTCAATTTAAGCACGAGAGAATGAGAAATAAATTCCCGAGAGTAAGGCAAACTCTTGATTCATTACACCAGATAAAAAAAAGAAATTCTTACCAGTCGCAAAGTGTTATACGCAAAGTATGTACGCGTAATAAGTTCTTCTTTTGCAAAAACGATGACTCCAAAATGCGGATTTTTCTTCCCTTTTTTTTCTTCCCATTAATACATACTTGTTTGTAACGCATACGTATAGGCTCGTGTTGTGCGCATATACATACGTGTTTGTTTAGCGTATCTTTGCGTGGAACGGACGTATGAAAAGAAAATGGTCACATCCTTGGGAAAAAAAACATAGAATAGGAAAGATCACAAGTCACGTTGCAGAAACTCACGTATACCGTGTCATAATTTTTTAACAAATGGCCGACCACGGTCAGAGCGCGCGCACTATCTTAGTTATTTCTAGAGAAATTATAAAATAGCTTTACAGGGGTGTAGCCATCTTCTCGACTAGTTGTAGGCCTGGCTGATCACTTTCATTTCCACATATCCTGAAATTGCACGCATGACTAGTACGCACTGACCTCACCAACACTTTAAGCTATTAAGCTTTTTAGCTCACCCCGAAAAGGCATAATTTATTACAAGTAGTAAGTGATCAAACCAAGAATTTGTCGGCCCGGGCTTACAGGTCTCTGAGCTGACTACGCTTCTGCACTATACAGTACCTGTGTTTCTGGGTTGAGGAATTTGTCTACTATCGGCGAGAGAAGTGTCTGAAAGTTCTCTTAAGGTAATTCCCTCGAAAAGAATGCGCTACTGCCTGTTATTCGAAGTGTTTTTTAATGAGTTGCGCCAACGTCGTTCCCAAGGTCTTCTTCTAATCGGCCCCCGTGGCGAGAGAGAGGGGGCAGAGTAGGAGATAACCCTGGGAAAGAGGTTGGAGATGCGCCCGAAATCTCAAACAAAATTGTTAAATATCAAAAACTTTGAACATCACTGCAGCCTAGAACCTATTTGATCGTTATTCTTTCAGTGCAGTGATTTCAAATTGGACGATTTTGCAAATTATTTTATGAAAGATGACCATCGCAGTTATAGACGCAACTTTTGCAGTAGGGAAAAGAAAGCCTGAAAAAATTTCAGGCTTGTACGGGATTCGAATCCTTGACCTCTGCGATACCGGTGCAGCACGCTACCAGTTGAGCCAACAAGCCAACTGGGAGCAGGTCGTTGAATTGGCTCGTTATAAACCCGTGAAAGGATGATGATGAAGTTATGAATTTTAGAAACCATACATGTGGACTGCGGGGTGAAGAATTATATGAAAGATGAACATACCTCATCTTTCAGATAATTCTTCACCCAGCAGTTCACATATATGGTTTTCATATATTCATAACTTTGCAAATTATGTAAGAAATTCAACCGCTACATCATCACCTACACTGTAATTTTCAGGGAGTTATAATAACTCCTCTAGTGGGGCTAATTTAACTCCTTACAGTGGAGTTATTTTTCGTGGAGTTATTTTAACTCCAAAAAGGAGTTTAAAGAACTCTTTTTCAGGAGTAAAAGTGACCACAGATTTTGAGGAGTTAAAATAACCCCAAAAAAGGAGTTATCCTGTACCTAAAATTTTTACTCCACTTTCAGAGTTAAATTAACTCCAAAAAGAGTGAAAACAACCCCTGTAAGGAGTACAAGTAACCCCATTTCGGAGTAATTTTAACTCCAAGACTGGGAGTAAAAAGAACTCTTTTTCAGGAGTAAAAATGACCCCAAATTCGGAGTTAAATTAGGAGTTAAAATAACCCCAAAAAAGGGGTTATCCTGTACCTAAAATTTTTACTCCATTTTTGGAGTTATAATAACTCCCTAAAAATTACGGTGTAATGCTCCTCTAAGGCTCCAAATGCAGATTTTCGAGTTATTTATATACAACTTTCTTTTTTTCTAAAAGTATGGTTTTCGTGTACTCAGTTAGCACTTCTCAAAGGACAATTAAAAGAATCATACGGCATTTTTTCGCAATTGCCTCTGGGAAAGGAATTCTCCTTACCTGTGCGTGAGAATAAAATCAGGCAAGAGACAGGTTAGAGGCTTGGGTACGAGGCTGATCTAAATCCAAAGAAACTATGGCGGCTCAAAACTAAACTCTTGGCACCATAACAAAACACGGCGAATACACCTGAGTGCGTATGCGGTAGCTACGGGTAGGCTTCCAACATATCTACTTACTTTGATTTCTTCATTTTCTCGGTACTTCTCCCATGTTACGGAGTTTGAGTTGTTGCTATACTCAAGCTTGAACGTTGGAATGAAATTAGGAAGTTCACTTTCAGATTTAGTATATCCCCCTAAGGTAGCCAACCTTGTGATCTTTTTTAATGAACCAAAATCAATCTGAGGATGGAAAGCAACAATAAAGGTAAACTAAAGTGACTAAAGAGAAGAGCACCATCACAAAAATCCTTTTCAATGTCAGTGTTTCTTCTGAATCACGTCTGCCGTGCTTTGCTCCATTTAACGCCCCAGATGAAAGTAAAATTACCAACAAACGCGGCGTTCCGGAATTATAAGGAAAAATACAATGTAATGACTATTACTCGGCAATCTACGTCAATTTTTAGTCACTTACAATCCTATCTCAGCATAAAAAAGCATGACATTAGAACTTAAAACATCTTCCTCTTTTAGATAATATTTACTAGAGGTAATCATTGATTACGAATCCGCGTTCGTCACTTACGGAAAAATTACGCAAATGAAATCGAGTCGAATGGAGTCCAGTTTCCAGGCCGAAGTGCCCCTGATAACATTAATAGGGGCGGCTAATAGGCGAGTTTCGTATTTCCGGACGGCCTAGGATGAGTGCTAGTTTTTGCGCGAAAGCGAGGCTAATGAGGGTCACTTCTCACCAAGAATACAAACAAACATGAGAAAACTGGGGCTGAGTCGCCGAAAAAAAGGAAAATTTGAAACGTTGAAAGTTTTTGGAGGGCATAAAACTTACTTACAGGCTTGATAAAAACAACAAGCCTAACCAGAAATTGACCGAAATAGTGGTCGTTCAGTGAGTTCAATAAAAATGTGAAGATGGTTCAAAATCCTTAAACAAGGTAAATACCCTGAAGCCATTTTTATGTTATTTTCAGTGATGGTTAAAACTTCTTTAAGCCATACCAACCGTCCATTGAAGTGTATGTACTTGTCGATAGCCTGCAAGTTAAACTGAGACCTTCTTTAACGAAGCGAATGCAAAATCTTGTGTATTTGAAAAAAATAACCTGACGGGGCAGACGTACTGCATAAATTCCTTGCACTGTAAGGAAGTTAAATTAATAATAATGAAAAATTCTTTATTAAAATCTTATAAAAACTACACAGAAAACTTCTGTAAAATATTCTTAAAAATAAAACGTCCACATCAATATTATATATCAATACAAATTTCCGGCAAAACCCCTTCACAAAATTCTAAGAAATTACATACAGTTTTTTAAAAAAATCAAATCAAAAGTTCTATCAGCCTCTAAAATTAAAAAATTAAAAAGTTTCTTTAAAATGTTAAGGAAGTTAAATAGGTTTAAACGAAGATGACTAGAATAGCATACGTTTATTAATACAGGAGCTTTAATAAACTCTCTTTAATAAACTCTCCTTGTCAGTCTGCAAGAAATAACAGTGAAATCCCTGTTCTTTCTCTCTCTAACATAGCCCTTAACAAGGATCTTCTGAAATCTTCTCTGAAGTGTTTGAAACCTGGCAAGGCAAGTGGTCCTGATGATATTTCAAGCAGGGGACTGCGCCTTATTGGAGATGTATTTTTGGACTGCTTTATGCCACTGGCTCAAAGAAGTATTTTGGAAAGCAAATTCCCAAGCCAGTGGAAGCAGGCACAGGTGAAATGTCTTCACAAGAAAGGGAGCACTCTCGACTGCGGAAATTACAGGCCGATCTCCCTTCTCAGCATTCCGGGCAAGCTATTAGAGAATGTTGTAAGCCAACAACTTGACAACTTCTTATATGGCAACAATCAAATCTCTTTAAATCAATGGGGCTTCAGAAAAGGAGGCTCACCTGAACTTCTTTTACTCTCACTAACAGAACGATGGCGTTTGGCCCTGGATGAAAGCAAGGTTATTGCCGTAGTCTTCATTGACTTTCAGAAAGCGTTTGACTGCGTCAACCATACAGTTCTCATCGATAAATTACACTCTATAGGCATTAGTGGCTCCTTTTACGATTGGCTCCTAAATTACCTCGAAAATCGTAAACAATTTGTAACTGTAAATGGTTCTAACTCAGAATTTTTGGAAATAGATACTGGTGTGCCTCAGGGGTCTTTACTCGGTCCCAGATTTTACAGTATTTACTCAAATGATTTACCTGAAGCCACAACAAATGCTTCTGTTGAAATGTTTGCGGATGATACCACAGTTTTTTGTATTGGAAATACTGTTGATGAAGTCTTATCTAAAATTCAGGAGGCGATCGCCGACTTAAACAAATGGGCTATGGTTAACTTCATGACTATTCATCCTGCAAAAACCGAATTGATGTTGTTATCTAAATCACAATTCATCGGGCCCTTACAGAAAATATGTTTAGGGCAAAAGGAGTTGTCCTTTGTTTCTAAATCTAAATGTTTAGGGATTCAAATCGATAATAAACTCTCCTGGTCGCCACATATCAAATCCTTGAGCAAACGTTTTTCAGCAAGAGTGAAGAAACTGAAACACTTAAAAGGTCTCGATAGTCGCATCTTAGAGTCAATTTATTTCAAAGGTATCATTCCAAGTATTACGTATTCAATTGCATTATGGGGATCTTCAAAATCTCTTCAGACCCTGGAGGACATTCACATCGGAGCAGCGAGATTTATTTTTAACATAAAGAATTCTACTCTTATAGCACTGAGGTCCTGGCAGCGACAAAATGGAAGTCTTTATCATACATGTACAAAAAGAGGATTGCAACCATATCTTATCAAGCATTTTATAACAGGGCTCCGGCTGGTATAAATTCTTTATTTATTAAACATTCTCCATTAAGAAATCTCAGGGACAGTCTGAAACTATACGTGCGTTGCCCTAAAAGTGACTTCCTTCGATCTTCCTTCTCTCATCGTGCGTCTATTCTATGGAATAACTTACCCATGTACTTAAAGAGCAAACCCAATATTGGTTCTTTTAAATCTGCTCTTAAAGAAAAATCTGACATTTTAGATAAAATAACATTTAATGGGTTACAGGGAATAAATAAAGATATTGTAAATTATATATATTAAGGCAACAGTCAACTGTTGTTTATCTTGCTAGGTATTGTTTTATTTTTCCTTACTCATTGTAAATAATTCATTGGTTTGTTAATATTATTAGTTACTTTTTTTTGTAGATACTTTTTAGTTTGTAGGTCTACATCAGCTCTTTAGCTGCCTCTTTTTTCACTGACCTACATGACAAATAAAGTATGTATGTATGTATGTATGTATGTATGTACATCTAGCTTACACTGGCTTAAATTATTTAAGCTTATCAAGATATTCAGTCACATAGAGAAAAACGTACGCACATTTCACTCGACAAGAACTCGAAAAAGAAATTTTATACAGACGATATACTGAGCAGTTTAAACTCCATTTTTTTGAGATGTACACAAGAGTAAAATAGAATACTAAGAAGTTAGATAATTAAAGGAAAAAATATACAAAAATATACTGTCATTTTAACCAACTTTACCCTTTTCAAGCTTAAAAATTTACTTCAGTTCTTCTTTTGCCTTCGTCGCTTTTTTCCCTTCTTTTGTTAAGTACAATCAGCTTTTCCCACAATTTTGTTGTTTGCAACAGATATCCCTTTGACTTACTGGTAAAGTTTAAGCTTTGAAATCTTACTATTTTTAATTTTTAATTTACTATTTTCAATCGTTTTCCAGCGACTCAGCGGCAAATTACCTATGTTTTTTTTTTGTGTTTGCAAAGAAGTTGACCCGCACTAGCCTTGCAATTTTGCTCGTTCAAGGGCCGTCGGGGAATACGAAACTTGCCTATTTGCCGTCGCCCGTGATGGCTCGAAAATTTCTGCCTTAGTGCCACAGGAACATCAGATTAGGATGCGTTCTGATGAACGCGACAAACGATTTACCTCACTTGTTCTCAGTGAATTCTAACATGACTCTAGAGCTTTACGGACAAAATTGCAAAATTTTCACGACTCCAATGTCTCGAAATTAGACCAAAGCAAATTTACATCTGGCCCAATGTCGGTTGAAATTGTATGCAAAAGCCCCACCCTGTGGACGAAGATACCTTTCCTTCAAATACATTTGAAAGAGGGAGACTAAAAATCGCAAATTTAAGCACTGCGTAGATGTAAACAAGCAGAAAAAAACAGTTTAAAACTATAGAAGAATGTCTTGACCATGAGAAATTTTACCACATGTACTTTTGTTTCAAACGAGTCATTTTGTTCGGATAAATCTTGCGTTGCAATCTTTGCAAAGGCGAAAAAACTTTCTCCTCAAAGCCCTCTGTATCCTTCCACAACTTCCAAATTACACTTTTCTCCTCTTCAGCTTATTAGTGTTCGTCTGTGCTTCCAAATCTTTCTAATGCTTTGGTACCTGATAAAGGGGACTAATTTTTTTTCCTCATTGATTTTTACTCACACAATACCAGATATGCTTCAAATAATGATTTTAATGATTCTAATGTACCACATTTCTTCTCCTATAAAATTGTCTAGAACGTCAAATTACGGCAAACACACATTTAAATTTATCACAACCAAAATCTTGGAAGAGATTCCTACTACCAGTTGAAAATTTAATACACGCCATACACTTCTACTAAAGCCATTAATTTCTTTCTTTTCTTTTTCTTATAAAAATATTTATATTTGTTATTTTATTCCTACGTTACCGTATACATTGCAAATATTAAAATGAAATGACGAAATTCAAATTGATCATCAACTAAAAAGTGCTCAATGGGTTTACCAGAGCTTTGAATAGATACGTAGACTTGAACTAGGTCAAAAACATTTCCTTGCTACTCAGAGTTTCATGCTTCATGAGAAGCAATGCAAATATTATGTATGAGTGTGAATAAAACTGAACAAAACTTTGATGACAAATTCCCAACCGTGGGAACAAAGCATTTAAAAATGCCCGACAAATGCCAGGAGGGATGGGCACACTTAGAATTGATAGAGCTATTTACTTGAGAACTGCGGAAAAAAGAGAAGAAGGGTAAGATCAAATTACCCAAATTGATCGTTCACAGGAAATGTCTCGTCTTTGCTTACAGAGAGGAAAGAAAGGTCCAGGGACGCTAGAAACTTCGTCATTTCCTGACCTAGGCGTCATTTTGCGGACAGAGTACATTACAGATAGATCGTTATTACCTGCACATAATCGTCGATGGCAAATCTTGGACTCCATCCGTATGGGTAGCCTTCAACGACCTCGTTCAGGCGGATGAAATGCGGTCTAATATTAAAGATATTACGCCGAGGATCATCCAGGGGAATACTTTGTGTCAAAGCTTCGTCCTTTATTTCACCGGACTCAAGGCCCAGAGCAGAAATGCAGTTGCCTGTGATAATAATGACAACATTATCATATTTGTCATAGTTATCATAGTTATGATTATAAAAGTAATGAAAATACAACGTTTTTCTTGTCCTCATGACAGCATCTTTATTAGCATGCAAATTTAATAGTTAAATTAGTTTCGATTGTGTGAATATTTAACATACACTAAATTAACAGAGTTTCTCTTTTGAACAGTTTTGCAAACATAGAAACAAATAGAGTGTCAAGCTCTCTTTTTTCCGGCTGAACCTCAATGACTTAATGTGCACCACCTCTTGTAAGCGACCACTTCCAAAAAGCAATCACCTATCCAAAATGTTCCTAGTCAAAGTCCCATAATTGAACCTCTCGTAAACGACCACCTTTCGTAAGCGACTGCTACCACGTTTTGGGATGACGGTTCTATAATTTTCCATTGCTTTTAACCTTTTGCAAGCGGCCACTTGATGCATTATCCCCTTTATGTACAATGCAACTCAGAGTACAGTGGAACCTCTCCTTTGGGACAGTTCTATTCAAGGACCACAAAATTTGGCTGGGAAAAATGTTCACATAATCCTTGTATTTTTTACCTTGAAGGGACACCTCCGTCCAGGGAAAAAGGACACATTTTCTGGGTCCAGAAAACCGGGCTCACTCCACTCAGGGAACTTCCTAGCATTCAAAAGTGACTGACCACAAAAATTCGTATATTATTTTTAGTCTTGACTAGTTACAATGGCAAGAGCTTTACACAAAATAAACTATGTCACTTAAATCGATATACTAAACTTCCGGGAATGCAACGCACAACATCACAGAGATATTAATCATGATTTTTATACATTATTTAGCTGCTTGAAAGAACTAATGACTGCAGCAGATTGCGAGGCAGAATAAAAGAAAAAAAATTTGTCGGTTCAATATTTAACAAACCACAGCCAGCCTCCAATCAGGTAAAACTTGCCTTTGTTTCGAGGGTGTCCCCTGAAAAAAGGTTCCACTGTGTACGAAGAATTTCAGTGACAACGTAATCATAACTTAACATATTGTAACTTGCAAAGGGTTTTTCGGAACCTCTTCTCCTGCAGAAGAAACCACCTGAGGGTTGATTCTAGTAAACGACCAGTTCCTGTAAGTGATCACTAAATCTTTACATTTTAGAGGTTCGACTGTATTATCGAGTAGATAATATTTTTGAAAACAGAGATTTTTTTCTTCCTTTTTCGAAAAAACACGCGTCCACTCCTTTTCTGTTCGAATCGTTTTCGCCCGTTTACACGGAAACACTAAAACGCTAGAAATACGATAGAATTCCTTACGGAGCATGCGTCATGGTAGAAGTATATGATGTGTGACATCATATTTGATAATCTCTCCTTTTGTCCATCACATATGAACGAGAAGCCGGTGTTTTCAAAAATCTTCTACGTACAGCGATGTAGACAATTTGCCATACCAAAGGAAAAAATCTCCGTTTTCAAACAAAAACGGATACCAGTGAACGGGTCTAAATGTTTCTTACTTGGTGAGCCTATTATGTCACAGCCATACAATTCTAATCGCAAGCAGATCTGCTCGTTCCAGCTCACCGGGCGCAGGCGAATACTGTTGGCCTCGATTGGGTGCCGAAGGGACTGGATGATCATTTCATTGTCATCGCGATCCTGCGGACCCTTGAATACCTTTCAAAAAGAGAAGAAAGATAATTATCTGACTCAGGCCATGTTTACACAATACCGGATGGCTCTTGCCCCGCAAGAAACTATACCGGATGGGGTTTCGGTTCACACATGGATGTTTTTTTTCCTTTGAAAAGAGCGACATGGTTTCAAACCCTCATCGGTTACTACCTATGACCAAATATTGGTCGAGTATCCCCCCGGAGTGAACAGACGAAAAGTCAAAAATGCGGTCATATCAACTAAATTGATAACGTCATTTTAGCACAGTAAAACGATTAGCAGGACGTCTGCAGGGGAGGCTATAAAACGATTCAAATGTTCTCATTTTGAGCGCTAGCCCGTCGTGTTTTGTTTTATTTGATGAGTGCTATTAAATTGACGACGTCCCCAACTAGAGACGGGACCGTAATTTATCCACAGTTCAAAATATGATTCATTTCATGTATTTCAATTATCAATTCAGTTGAAAAACCTTATCTCGCATATCCTCATAATGCTCTTCGCCCTCGTCTATAACGCTTGTTAGGAAATTTAAACCTAGGGTTGCCATTTTCACTGTTTAACTTTGATGATTCTTATTTTCTTCCATAAAGCCGGTGTAATAATCACTCGAGTAATAACAACAACAACACTTTATTCCGTTTTTAAAAGAATACAGTATTACGAACATTGACAAACCGCAGTTAGCATAGCTATTCGAGGCGGGTTGCAAAAAAAAAAACAACAACATTGGCCCCTAGTTATATACATGAAAGAAAAATTGTTACATAGAATGTGTAATATAAACAGTTAGTTGAAAATAAATACAATGCTTATAGTTCTTTCAATTGATTTGATTTATTACCATAGGCTTACTTTGTGTATTAATAATTAATAACTAAAAACTACAATTATTGTAGTTTTTAGTTATAACTGCTGCTTCGCTATTTTATCCAACAGAGTGGGTGTGTCGACGTAACTGTCTTCGACTTCGAAAATTTGAAAGAGCAGATCTCAAACTTTTTGTTTAAATGCAGTTCTCGATAGTCTACGTATTTCAAGTGGAAGACAATTCCATACTGGCTCCAAAAAATTGCAACAGAAATTACTCAGTAGATTCATGCGGGACGTAGAGGTCCTGGTATTGTAGGAATGAATTGAACCACATCTAATAAAGTTATTGTAGATATTTTCCGGGGAAGAGTTTTTTGAAATATCAAACATGAGATTCGACTCTGTCTCAAAGTATAGCAAATTTAGAGGTAAAATTTTGCAGAAACAAACCAAGGAACACCACGAGTCCTGGGGTTAGAAAAATGCATTATCCGTATAAAGCACGTTTTTGAAGCAGTAATATTTTATTCAAATGTGATTGCAGAGCCTGACCCCGGCAAACTAGACCATATGACAAATAAGAAAACGTTAAAGACTGATAAATACTATGTAGGGTATTAAATGGAACGAAATGTCTCAAACGAGCTATAACCACACTGAATTTGCCAAGTTTGGATGTTATGCAATCAATGTGATGTTTCCAGCATAGGTGATTATCAATTAGCACACCCAAGTATTTAACGTAATCTTTACATTCAAGAGAAGAATATCCCTTTGTACTATTATCAGTCACTACTAAATTAATGTGATAATTGAGTTTCTTCTGACGGGGTCGAAAAATAAAGTAATTTGACTTTTTCATTCAGAGTTAATTTATTTGCATCCAACCATTGACAGACTAATATAGTTCGTTGTTAATGGTCGTCTCCAGGGACTTTAAGTTTTTATCAGCAAAAAGCATATTCGTATCGTCAGCAAATAAATAAAAGTCAAACTTTTTTGAAGAATTGAAAAAATCTGTTGTGTATAGTAAGAACAGAAGAGCTTCTAATACAGAGTCCTGAGGAACTCCATATGGGACTATTTGTTTTCTGGATATTAATGAATTTACTTCAGTAGTTTGAGTACGCCCGGACAAATAAGACGCAGACCAGTCCCTAACAATCCTGCAATTTCCATAATGGTATAATTTACTTAAAAAAACTGATTGGTCTACCGTATCAAAAGTATTTTTCAGACCACCTTGCCATCCAAAAAGGTTCTTTTCAAATCATTTAAAAGCAGCAAAAGTTGAATCCATTTGGTAAAAATCTGTGGTGAAATATTCTGTGTATTACATGGCTTTTCTGGCACAAAGACCAAACCCAGTAACCTCAGCTCCCTCGGAGCATACACTTATTCCCCGGTCATTCGTTCAACTTAAGCTACAGTCGAGGGACATAAGTATTCGTCACTTTCAATATGGCGGCGTTTGTTTACATTTTACGCGCGCTAGTTTTAACACCGTTTTCGGCAAATCTAACTTTAAAATCACCTTAATATTTAGCGAGATGACCCTTCATTTTAATTACTTTGTCTAGGCGGTCAGATATTGACTGCCGGTAGAGGTTTCTTATATAATCCAATTCGATGTTCCCCCACACGCTCTGGATTTCACGCAGAAGATCATTTTTGGTAGCGATATCTACTGCGGACTTTTGCAGCTCTCTCTTCATGTATAGCCAGGTATTTTCTATTATATTTAAATCTGGTGATTGTGCTGGCCATTCCATTGAGGTTACTTCGTTTTGATCTTTATAAGGCTCTGTGAACAGGCGCTTTGTCATATTCATGAACAAGTACTCTTTTACTTCAAAATACCAGACAACTACTGGGCGCCATAATTTATTGTCTAGGATGTCAATGTACTTGGCAGAGTTGATGTTGCCTTCAACTGCAGTCAGACTTCCAACACCTTCATAACAAATACATCCCCTGTTTATCAAACTTATCTTCCGTTCAGAGCGAGAACAAATAAGATCTGGGTTGTACTTTTCGTCGTCTCTTCACTAAATGTGAACACGTTTGTTTGTATCGAACACAGTCTGACCTTAATCTGAAAATATTACTTTTTTCCAGTAGTTCAGGGGCACCCAAAGTCAATTTTCGGAAAATATCTGTTCGGAAGACGATTTAAGATCTAGAATTTTCGGAACATTTGTTGTAAAATTTCTTGCTTGCCTGCCTCTCCTAGGATTTTCGAACATCTAAAAAATGGTATAATTGCCTATTTTTAACGGATTTTTAGGCTAAAAAGATCACCTAGAATTTTCGGGAGCCTTTTTTCTGGCTAAAATTTTCGAAAAGGTAAGTTTTGATCCCTATAATTATCGGATCACTAGACTTTCAGCTAGGAAATCCGAACAGATGAAAAATTTTTAGGGGATAGAAATATGCCTATATCTACCGCTTAAATACTAAAATACGTTTAACAATGCCATGTTTAAGTGGTTTTTAACTATATTCTCGTTGGGTGCCCCTGGTAGTTGTCTACTGTTCGACCTCTTCGTGTTAGCCGTAATTTACATTGAATTTGCATTGAGTTGTTTCAGTTCCCTTAAATTATACACATTTTACTTCAATGTTTACTTTTAAAAGGATAATTTGTTTCTGAATAGATATACAGCTTAGTCACTGAATAATTAGACCTTTCGCCTGTTTAAATACCAACCGTTCGTAGTTTTTAGTTTTGACATTTCAGGGAATCCTGAGCAAAGGAAACTCGAATTCTTTTAGACAGCTTTCTTTGTAAATTTCCTAAATTCACTTGCTTGACTGACATTTAATTTTGAGTTATTTAGTTTAACATGTGAACTTTTAAACTGAATTTATCCAGATTTGTTTTCGCTGTTCAGCTGATTTTATTCAGCCTTTTTTCCATTTGTTTTGTGATGTTGTAATAAATTGATCGGTTAGTATAAATAGAGCACTGTTATTCCTGTTTTTCGATTTACATTGCGAAGTGATATGCTTGTACGATTTACATTGCGGGCCGGAGTTACAGGCTTGTACGATTTTACATTGCGGATTCATCTGATTGTATGATTTACGTTCACGAACTGAGGATTAAACTGTTGAAGTCCAATTTTGAGTCCTGTCCTGTTTCCAGTTGTAGCAGGTCCTAGTACCTTGGAATAGTGACGAGTTCCTTTCCCGCTTACCAAGCGAGTTGCGAGTTAGTTTTCCCCCTTTTTTTTCTTAAGCCGAAGTCTCTGAAGTTCTCTTTACGCTCAATTCCCCGATTTGGTGCTTGGAAGGGCAAAACGTATCGTCACAGTACTTGCTTAGAACGCTCGTGATAGTCGTTCTTGGAATGTTCAACATTCTTGACAGTTCTGCATTGTTTTTCACGGATTCCGACAAAGTAATAATTAATTCCTTCGTTTCAGTGGACAGTTAAGCTCCTTTTCGACTCATGAGAGCTGAAAATAAATTCTCAGAAGCAAAAGAAGAAAAAAATATGACCATTTTTTAGCGAGGCAACCTTGAACTTAATGTTGAATGACTGAATAAACGAGGTGTCAAAACACAAACAGCTCTCATTTCTTTTCTTTCGGGAACTATGCAATTTTTTTCGTGCTCATGGTCGGATGTTTGTTTGTTTCTATTTTCACGAATTTTTCCCGCCTTTATTGACCAACGCACGCCCTCCATCAAGTCTCCTGTTGATAGTGTGCTGAACGGGGGTGAGAATTTCGCGCATCCTTTTTGAAAGTGACGAATACTTATGTCCCTTGACTGTATGTTACCCACCTTGGTGTGACCGTTCTCCATGTAATCCGTCCAAGTGATGTCATCATCACTATACTGTAAGCTGTATTTTTCTACCCAATGGTCCTTTGACTTACGTCGGAGGACTCCCACGCGAGTCACGCGAGTTTTTAATAAGAAATCTATCTGCAAAAAGACATCTTTGACATCTTTGGCGCACCAGCCGTCTTCAGCTATGAATACAGAAGACAAACCATAAAATATAAATTAACAGGAACCTATAAATTACAGTAAGATGGTATCAAGTGAAACAGAACATGTGTGAAAGGTTTGAACCCAGGCGTCATTTCAAAAGTAGGTTGAGTTTGATCGTCCGGGTGAACTAGTCCTGAATAGGACTGTTGTTGTTGACAGTGACTGACATTTCGACACCCTGTGTGGTAGTCATCTTCAGAGTCAAAGTGAGTTGTATCACGTCAGTTGATGGTATTATACTCTGGTTATTGATCTGATTGGTCAATTACGTCGCGATGTTATTGGTCGTCTGTCAGTTAAGCCGTGATGTTATTGGCTATGAAGACTCGTAATCAGTAATTAGTGCGTTTCGATCCGTCTATTGTCACAGTTGAACAGTCGCCTATTGTTAGTCAAATTGTCAGTTCTCCAGTCGTTCTCTCGTAGTTAGTTTTGATTGATCTCGTCAATAAGTCGTTTGTACGAAGCTGGTAACTGCTGGCTACGATTTAGTGGCGTTTGTTCTAAGTTAGTAAACCAGCTTTCTAAAGTAAGTCTTTGATAGTAGTCTGTAGAATACGTTATACATGTCGCAGAGTCCCAGTCAATTTGATGTTTCGTCTTTAAATGGTGCTCAGCAATGTGATTGTTGACGTCACCATTCCGCGTCGCTCGTTTGTGTTCGGTCAGTCGCGTGCTTAGGTTTCTGACGGTTTCACCAATGTAAGAAGCCTGGCAGTCGCAGCATTTGAATACTGCTTCCTGTCTGTCCTCCGGTTTGTCTTTGTCCTTGACATTAGTAAGCAGTCGCCGTAAAGTGGTTATAGGTTTGTGTGCAACACGTATATTGTAAGGTCGTAATATACGTGCAATAGTTTCAGAGGTGCCTCTGATGTACGGTATAGTCGCTGTCGTAACAGGGCCAGAGTTGGTCTGAGAGTTGGAA